GAAGCTTCTTGCTATAGATTATTCGATGGCCTTACCTTTTCAACTCAAAATGTTGGTTTTTAATTTTTCCTGTTCTGTTAACATCGTTGTAGATAAGTGCTCTGAGGGAAGAAGACTTAAACGAGAATTTCTTCAAGGCACTTTCTCATGTTCAAGAGATTCATTCCAATTGCAAAGTATTGCTACGAACACATCACCAGGTAATTTGGTGATAGATAGCCTGCTTATTTTCAATGTTCTGGGTCTGGAGTTTTCTCATACTACTAATTTGGTGATAAATAGCCTGCTTCATTTTATGCTTTCTGTTTGACGTTTCCGTTTATAATTTACTAGCTGATTCCATTTACTTAATTGCCCTAAAAGCTTGGAAGTGGTTGTAATCATTGACTTAAATGGATTTTCCCCCCTTGCAGCGAGCTGGTCTAGAGTTGATGGATATGATGGCTGTGTACCAAGAAGGAGCGTATGAGAGGCTATGCAGGTAAAATTATCTTCTTCACTGGATGCTTCTTCTTTTTCCTTTTTTTCTTAAAGGATGTTTCACCTTACTGGGCACACAGTGTTTACTTTCAGTTCTTGCTCATGTAAATCACTACAATGAGCCTTAGAAATAGACATTAGGATAGATGGACAGTAGCTATTTACACTATGGTAACAAGTACCCTATCCTGCAACTGTTCTTCTTCATTGCTGACCTAGAAATCAATCTCTTTTAAGTAGCAAGGATAAAGATTTTTTCTTATCAGGATGGCGTAGGTTGATTTTATAGTTAGGTGCTTCAGAAGGGATTTGAACTTAGGACCTCCAGGTTCAATATAGAGATATTGATAGTTACGAGATTCCAGCTTTTGTTCGTGCTATATTTATAACTCCTATCTCGATTTTGCTGACCTTATTGCTCCTACACTATACACTTGGATGATAAGAAGCCTAGTTATTAGTGTATAGCAAACAAGAGGCATTTTATCTCTGTTAATAAGGTACTCTCGAGTTGTGTGAATTTACTGTAGACTGCTTAACTCCCTAAAGTTTCTTTTCTGTTTATCTTATGTGTTAGTTGTGTTACCCCATTATAGGTGGGTTCAGGCAGAATGTAGGAAGCTGGGAGATACTGACAATCCTGAAGTTGGTGATCTTTTGAAAACAGCAGTCCTGTGTCTCAAAGAGAGGCCTGTCCTTTTCAAATATTGTGCGGAAGAGGTGAATGCTGTTTTTATAATCAACAATATTTGCTTACAATATTTATTTCCATGCGGCATGAGAGATCTGCTTTGGAATGTTCAGGTAGCAAATATGAGGCACAATGCATTGTTCAGAAGATTTATTAGTGCTCTTACACGTGGAGGACCTGGTGGACTACCAAGACCGATAGAGGTTCATGCTCATGATCCATTACGATATGTTGGTGACATGTTGGGATGGTTGCATCAGGTTTGGCTTGAACTTCCCATTGGTTGTGTTTTACTAAAGTTGTTCTCTATATGAGCTCTTATTATTCGCTCTATCATATGCAGGCATTGGCATCAGAGCGTGAACTTGCTCTTGCGTTACTTGATCCTGATGCAACTGCAGATGCTGGATCAACCACAAACTATGTTCCAAGGGTTTTGGAGAATGGTAGTGGAAAGAAAGAATCCGACATGACATTTGTGCTCGACAGAATTTTCGAAGGAGTTTGCCGCCCATTTAAAGTTAGGGTAGAACAAGTATTGCAGTCCCAACCCAGTCTTATAGTAACATACAAACTCAGTAATACCTTGGAATTTTACTGCTACACTGTAAGTGATTGCACTGTCCTATGTTTCCTTCATCTTCTTTATGTCCTGGTTCTCCTCCCCTTAGCTGAAAGAAACCAATCATGCTAACTATAGGTGTCAGATTTGCTTGGGAGAGATACAGCCCTGTGCAATACATTGTTGCTACTGAAGGATGCTGCACAGAAAACTTTCTTTGGCATTCTGAAAACCCGTGGAGAGAAACTCTTACGTTATCCTCCTCTTGTAGCTGCTGATCTCTCCCCTCCACAGGCTGTGAGGGAAGGCGTGTCTGTTCTACTTGATATAATTGAAATCCATAACAGCATGATGGTTCCTGCTTCAGAAAATAATTCAGATTTCGGCCCAGTCATATCTGCATTACTTGATCCTATAATTCAGGTATGATCATTATCTAATACTAAGTTCTGGGATCAATCTATATAAAAAATTCACAATGCTGTATATAAGTTTGCAGGCATAATAATAAAATGTTTTGGAAACTTCGCTTGTTTCATTTTTGTTATTTGAATATTGTGCTTTAATGCTATTGAGAAAGTGCATCAGAATCACTTGTAAGGATGAATTCCTTGCATTTTCTGTTTACGTAAAACCCCCAAGAGCTTCAGTTTTGAATTCTGGGATGTGGTTTAAGCCTTTGGTTTTCCTAATCATTTGCATGTCAGCTGTCACTTAAGCTTGTTGGTTAAGTTGATCTTCATCTTTACATTGTTTTCAGTGGTAATAGCAGATTTAATGATTCTGTATTTGCTCTAATGCTTGCCAGTTACATTTTATGCTATCTGCTGAACTGTGTTACACTCTGAATATATATTTGCAGTCAATATAAACTGAAGGTATATTTTGTTCACCAATTGCGTTCTCAACACTTAAGTTAGTAATTCTATGAGATGTAAGGTCAACTTTTCACACACGTCTTCACAGATGTGTGAGCGAGCTGCTGAGGCACACAAGTCTAAGGGTGCTGGTAACTTGTCAAGAAGGAGAAGCACTGGCTCAAACCAAGACAATAAATCTTCAGTTGACGCCCTTCTGTCAAATGGAAGCTCTGGCCCGTCCTCTCAGGTATCTACTTACCTTTTGCCCCTTATTACGAGCATCTATTCTCTGATTGTCGGACTTCACAGTCATTCTAAAATATCTGTTTGTACACCACGACATGACGTAACCAGTTTGATTTTGCTGAAGGCTATCGGTACTGAAAAGAAATATCACAATTTCATTTCTAAACGGTGCTGTGCAGAATTCTGAAATGCCTTCCAAGATCTTCCTTATCAACTGCCTGTGCGCCATCCAGCAACCATTATCCGGGCACGAGATTGCTGCTGAATATGTAAATAAACTTGGAGCAATGTTAGATAGGCACGTGCACGATCTGGTTGGAAGAGAAGTCGACGCCATTCTTAGAAGATGTGGGCTGTCTCAGAAAATGAGTTACTTCCATGATTCAGTTGACAGCGGAGCAACATCGGGGACGAGGCCACTAGCAGAGGTCGAAGAGACGTCCCCAGCGGCTCTCGCAGAGTGCTTGAGGGCTTTCTTCGGGCTTGTACTGGGGAGTGAGAGTGCACTTCCCGAGTTCGAACAGATGCAGGTCCCTAAGTTGCGGTCCGAGACTTGCGTGGAGGTGGCCAGGTCGCTCGCGGGGGCATATGATCTTATTTACAAAGCAATCATGGATCCCAAGAATGGGTATGCAGAGCCCAGATCATTGGCCAGGCATCCTCCAGATCAAATAAGGACCATTTTGGGCATTTGAGAATCTGACGAGACTGTGAATTGGTCTGTTGTCAAGAGTTCTATTTGGGGTTTTCACTCATCTAGAGTTGGTGTATAGATGGCAATGTCAATGTAGTATTATGATCAGTGTATCATGATTTACTGCTTGTAAAATGATTCGATTTCGATTTTAGAATGAGAATTTTTAGGCTCGTAATTTATGAGGACTCTGATCGATATTGCGTCCGTCTCGAGGAAGTTATGTAGAAGTTGTGGACTGTCTCTGTGATGTTGAACTTTTAGTTTGAGGAATTTTTCGGGTATCTATTACGAAGTAGAAGAAATGTTACACTTTCGTCGAATCTTATTGTACCATTTGAATTCAAAAGTGATTCGAGAACTAGCATCAAATCACAATGTGAATTTGCTCTTGAAAGTTGAGTTTTCAAAGTCACTCCGCTTTAATAGTATGTTCTTTTAATCATTAAAAAACATGTCTACTAAAGGAGATAATCAATTCATAATATTATTCCTAATCTTAATAATAGGATCCGATCTTCCATGTTCTAGCTGAATACATTATGAATATTGACAATTTTCTCTTGTAAAGATGAGGTAAACTATCATTCAATGACTACTAACTGGTAGGGCTGGGCATGTGGGCGGATCATCTGCGGGTTTGGGCCGACCCATCCGCATTTTACCCGAATTTTGTTAAGTGGGTGGGTCTGTGGGTGGGTGACGGGTTGCGATGGGAGCCATCCGCCGGGTGGTGGGTGAGTTGTGGGTGGGTGCACGGGTGACCCGCTCAACCCAACAGCAAAAAGATCAAAGTCGTTGGCGCTAGAGAGGGGAGAGTGGAGACGTTAGACATAAACTAGGACTGCTCCTGGAGTTTGAACCTCAAAGTCAACCTTCCAAATAGTGATCCCCTCTTCTTCCCTTTATTTTTCCCTCTAATTCTTGTGCCTAGATCACCGCTCTTTCCTTTGTGGAATTATTTACCTTAGTTCCTTGCACCTGATAATCATCTTAATCTGTAGAAAACTCTTTCATAATAGAATTTCTATCCAATTTAAGAACTAATTCGACATTTTTTGTCCTATTTCATTTTCTTGTTTCCCCCGATAACTCTCTTCACCTATTATCATGTCAAGTTAACTCCTTTATATTATATACATGGTGATGTGGGTGAACCCACAAACCCACCCGCATCATCCACAATCCGCCCGACCCAACCCGAGACTAAATGTGGGTGGGTGGTGGGTCAAAAATTATCAATCCGTTTAAGCACGGGTGGGTGCATTTTATGGTCAAAATCCACCCGACCCACCCAATGCCCACCCCTACTAACTGGTATGAATACTAAAAAAGTTCCAAATCATATACCTAATTCGTGAATAAGACTCATTTCACTTTCTTTCAACAGAAGGGAACACTTGTTTTCCTCACTTGTATAGTTATTTCTCAACGTGTTCATTATTTTAAGCAAAATCCGAACCAATCAAACCAACCCCAAATAAACAAAACAATGCATTGAATTCAATTCACAAAGAAAAGGGCGTTCCAAAAGAAAAGAATGCCAAAGAAAAATTTGTCCTCTTGGACGAAAAAGAAGCTGTCCCCTTCTTCTCTGTTTCCCTCCATCCATTTCCATGAGCTTGCTTCCCACTAACTCCAATCTTCCTTCCTTCCTTCCATTTCAATCAATCAATCAATCACCCAACCAAACCCATCTCGCGCTGTTACATTCCGCATTCCCTGAGGAACGAGAAGAACAAGAGAGGCGAAGACAGAGATGGCTGCTCCCGCCGTGGCTGGAGGCGGAGGAGGAGGAGGAGTTATGGGGGCTCTCGAGAAAGATGCGTGCAGAGCCCACATGTCAATGGCCTTGGTTCAGCTCATCAATGGAGGCTACCATGTTATTACCAAAGTAGCGCTCAATGTCGGCATTAATCAGCTCGTTTTCTGCCTCTTCCGCGATCTCCTTGCCCTTTCCATTCTCGCCCCCGTTGCCTATTTGCGGGAGAAGTAAATGGATTCCCCCGCCCCTTTGTCTTCTTCATCTTTGATGTACAATCGGCTGAATTTATTTTCAAGGGTTCCTTTTTGAAGTGATTGTTGTTTGATTTCATTATTTATAGATGTTGTTCGGTCAGCTGCTCTATTACTACTCCAATGGCTTTCTTTGGGTCTCAATTGTGGAGATTCTAGACGTGTTCTTCTCTGGTCCATCACAGTTATGCATTTACACCGTATCTTAAAAAGCATTTCTGACGTTGTAGGAGGATCCGGCCGCCCATGACTAGGAGCTTGCTCCTGTCATTCTTCTTCCTTGGCTTGACTGGGTAAAAGTCTAATGGCTGAGCAGTTTACTTTATTCGACTTGCTTCAAATTTACCTGTTAACTGCAATTCGTTATCCCTGATCATTAGGATTTTCGGGAACCAGCTTTTGTTTCTTCTTGGTCTTAGCTACACAAATCCAACGTATGCTGCTGCCATACAGCCTTCAATACCAGTATTCACATTTCTTCTGGCTGTGACAATGGGGTGAGTCTGACCAAATTTGTCCTGTCGTTATATTCCTCGCAATTTGCTTGATTTGGGACATGATCTTGCTGGACTGTAGACGTGGGATATCTTTTTTTCTGATGTACTTGTTTATTATGCAGTACAGAAAGAGTGAATTTGCTCAAAACTGAAGGTCAAGCAAAGATTTTGGGCACAGCCATCTGCGTTTCTGGTGCCATATTGATGGTTCTTTTCCGCGGTCCTGCTATCTTTGGACAGGCAGAGGCTGACTCGGCAAGCAATGAAATAAAGGGCAGTGGTCAACCAGAGCCTGTAGGATGGTTTCTGTCCAGCCTACTAGACATTGGTTTAGAGACTTGGCATCTTGGGGTTATATGCTTAATTGGAAATTGTATGTGCATGGCAGCTTTTCTGGCCCTTCAGGTAAATATCATATGCTCCGATGTTGGGCACATGTTAGTATCAGCAAAAATCTTCCTCTAGTCCAATTGCTGTTAGCTGCTAACCAACTTAGAGGTTGGTGTTAACTTTTCTCCTTTTCCTTCCGTCGCTACATTGTTGGACATATAATCTTGATGAATGGGGTTTGTTGAAGAACTTTGCAAAATCAAGCCAAACAACTCAGCATAGGGTTCTTTGAACCAGTTTGATTACGGAACCTTTGACCTGTTTTCTATGGAGACATCAGGGTACTAGCTAGTAGTGATCTACAATGGCTCGTGGAGTATTGACATACTTGTAGTCTACACTTTATTGCTCCTTTTTGCTTGAATTTTTTAATGTGTAATTTGTATTTTCCCTTGGCCTTGTCTTGAGCTGGTTTCTCTAGGCTGTGTTTATGAGTTATAATAGATTAGATTTTATGTTAGGGCAAGGGAACAACCTTGTTGACATTTCTTTTAATAATTCCTCATTTACTGTTAAGGCTTACTACTTTCCAGTACTAAAATTGATGGTGTTAATGTGTAACTTGAAAATTTCCAGGCTCCAGTTTTAGCTAAGTATCCTGCTAGCATTTCGGTCACTGCATATTCTTATGGCTTTGGGGCGCTATTGATGGTAGTGACAGCATTCTTTGCAACCAATGAATCGACAGTCTGGATCTTAACTCGGTCAGAGTTACTGGCTGTGCTATATGCTGTAAGTCTTTGTGTGCTGGCTCCAATCACCAACTCTTTTCACTGCTTCCCTTTAACATGCTTGCTACTGAAAATAGTTAGTGTCTGTTTGGTGTCTTGTAATGTGCCTTGTTATATTTCTGGGCCAACCATAGAGTCGTGCAAAACTGCAGAGTATGCATTTTTGGAACAGCAATGATAATTCTTGATATTGCGTAATGTGGGAACACGTTTGCTCTTCAACAAGACTCGATGGGGTCATCATATCATGAGTGATGGCCTTTCATGGCATGCACAATATATAAATCTGGTGCTGACATACTTGAATCATCCTTTTGCACAGTACATATTTGATGATGAAAATGATCACGTGGCCATGCTACTTGGAAAGTTTCTGATATGTTTTTCTTACTTGTACTCATTGAATGAACAATCAGGGAACTATCGCATCTGCTCTTAATTATGGACTACTAACATGGTGCAACAAGATCTTAGGCCCTGCTTTGGTTGCTCTCTACAATCCACTGCAACCTGCCGCGTCTGCCTTCCTCTCCAGGATTTTCCTGGGCAGCCCTATTTATTTGGGAAGGTTGTGCACTGTCACTGAGGTCCTATATATATGTATATTTTGCATTCATCTTACAATCTTACATCCAGTTGTCTTGAGCATTGTTTTCAGCAGGTTGTTTGGTTTGTGTACAAGATAGACATGAAAGGAACACAAGCTGACATATTCGGTTTTCCATGTGTTGAATGAAACAGCATAGTTGGAGGATGCCTAATCATTGCTGGCCTATATTTAGTGACATGGGGATCTTACAGAGAGACACAAGCAGCATCGAGTCTGGTGGTTGCTGAGGTTCCGATCCGGGCATCAGATCCTCTGATTCACAAAGATGGAACCATGAACAAAGGAGTGTACCAGAGGGGACACATTTTCGCCGGTTCCTCGCTCAAACCCATAGATTAAAGCAAGCAACTTATTTGGGTGTGATTATATGGGTCTGTAGATCATCAAACTTTCTGTTGTCAATATGGAGCATGTAGTCTGTTGTCCCCTGTGGTTGAGCGTTTCCTGGTTTCCTAATCCATATAAACTCTCTCATATATACACCTTGATCTTCTTGCATGTTCTCCTAATGTGAAATGAAGGAAGAATCACAGCATGTTAAAGAATCGGAGAGATGAGGGAGAACTAATTGTGCTCCACCAAAATGTATTTTTATTACCTTATCAAATTCAAAAGCAAGGTTGTCAAATTTGTATCTGACCGACCGGTTTAATAGTGTCCAACCGGAATCATCTACAAGTTGGAATACATTGGACGAATCTCGAAAAAAGTTAAAACGAGTTAAATCAATTAAAATTGAGTGGTCTGACCAGATAAAACTGGGTTTGAAGATGAAGATTGATAATTTTGTATTATATATTTCTTCTGAAGAAATAATTTGGTAATATACGAATGAAGAATAGTGAGATTTTTTAAAAGGGTAAATGCCACATTTGGTCATTGAGATTACTAAATCATGTCATATTTAGTCAGTAGAAAAAATTAATATCAATTTTGGGCACTCGAATTACTGAAATATGTCACATTTAGTCATTCTCCCGTTAGTTTCTGTCCAACTTCATTAACGGAGTTGAACGGAGGCTAACGGAGAGTGAATGTGACATGTTTCAGTAATTCGAGTGACCGGAGTTGGACGGAAGCTAATGGGAGAGCGACTAAATATGACCTGTTTTAGTAATTCGAGTGACCAAAATTGATATTAATTTTTTTTAGTTACTAAACATAACACGATTTAGTAATCCTAGTGATCAAATGTGGCAATTAGCCTTTTTTAAAATATGTCAAATATATGCATGATCTATTTGGTATTAGAAATTTCTCACATATTATGTTCAAATTGAACTAGTTGAATATAGTTTAACCATCAAATCTTAAATTACTTTGGCGGACGGACTTGCTGGCTTAATCCGATTTGACAACTTTGGACAAAAGTACTAAACTTTGTGCAAATAACTGCTTAGAAAAGAAAATTAAATGAAGGAGAAAATAGTGGGTTTGGTGCCTGAAGGAGAAAGGAAAGAAAGAGTCCTCCAGCTTCCCTCCCTCCTTCCCATCTACTCTCTTTGATTCAACCTCAAACTCTGCGTCCAATCCAACCACCTCCAAATTCAAATCCCTAATTCCTGATTCCTAATTTTCACTCATCTCACTCTGATCTCTGATTCTTCCTTCTTCTTCCGCCCCCTCTCCCACATTAAAGTTCCACTGGCCCGTCCCGTTCCGAAAGTTTCACCACTGTCGGCGGAGGAGTTTCCAGATTCAGATCAACCGTATATTCATGCCGGTCTCCCTGCCTCCCTTCTCATTGCATCAAGCAATCGCGGTCTCACTCACTGTCTTCTCTGGTATTCGCTCTACTACCGGCATTTCGATTTTCCAGGTTTAAGTTACTAATCAGGCTAAGAGAGGTTCCGTTTCTGATGTTTGAGTTTAGTTTTGGGGTTGGCAATTGCGCTGATGTGAGAGCAGTTTAATCGTCTGGATAGTGCGATCCTGGTTGGAAACTCCCCTGTGTATGGTAATCCCCGCTACTGGGAAGATCCTCGTGCTTTCTCTCTTGTTCCCGGGGCTTAGTTGCAGTGATGGGAGGACTAGGAGCAGCGTTTCTTTAGTTTTTCTTAGGGGCGCGGCCTGCAATGCTTTGAAACGGAGGACTCTGGCACTGGAATATTCTCGTCGCCTGATTGTGCAAAGATGGTGCTTGGTAAAATAGCAGCTGCGGTTTCTGCTGCGACTAGTCGCCTCTCTTTTTCAGGATCAAACTCTGCTTCTGTCCCGTATATGTCAACTGGGGTATCTCCCCCTCCTACAGAAGCCGCTGATCATGGATTTTCTTTCTCCAGCCCTGCACAAAGCAAGGCCAATTTGAGGCTCTCGTCATCACTGCAAGACTTGTCATCGTATAGGCGACTTGATCCCGAGGAAGGGGACCCTCTGAAGTTTGGGGTTGATAAGAATGTCCGTTTGCTACAGAGAGAGAATGCTACTGCTGCAAGTTTTTCTAAAGAGAAAGGACTGCCACCTGCAACTCCTTTCCTTCGGAGGAAATGGGTTCGGGCGCTGTTGGTGTTCTTGTGCCTGCTATCGCTTACTTTCTTAACTTACTTGATTTCGTTATACGTTTATTCTTACTGGTCTCAAGGATCATCCAAGTTCTATGTTGTTCTTGACTGTGGAAGTACTGGTACTCGTGTGTTCGTATATCAGGCATCCATTGATAACAAAAAAGATGGTAACTTACCCATTGTGGTGAAGTCTTTTTCTGAAGGTGTTTCTCGAAAGCCAACCGGACGTGCATACGATCGAATGGAAACTGAACCTGGGCTTCATATGTTGGTGCATAATACATCTGGATTGAAGTCTGCTCTAAAACCACTTGTTAAGTGGGCCCAGAAGCAAATTCCAGCGGACGCACATCAGTCAACCTCACTTTTCCTCTATGCTACTGCCGGGGTACGCAGGCTTCCTAGATCTGATTCGAAATGGCTGCTAGATAAAGCATGGTCTATACTCAATGAATCTCCATTCTTGTGTCAACGAGAATGGATTAAGATTATCAGTGGCATGGAAGAAGCTTATTTTGGATGGATAGCCTTAAATTATAGAACTGAGGTACTGGGAGCTAGTCCGAAGAAGCCAACTTTTGGCGCTCTTGACCTGGGGGGCTCATCATTGCAGGTCACTTTTGAGGGTGATAAACAGTTCCGCAACCAGACTAACTTAAACCTTAGAATTGGAGCTGTCAACCATCGCCTCAGTGCCTATTCTCTCGCAGGATATGGTTTAAATGATGCATTTGATAAGTCTGTTGTTCATATCCTAAAGAGGCTTCCAAATGTTGATTTACTCAGTAATAAGGCTGAAATTAAGCATCCTTGCCTGCATTCTGGCTACAAGGAGGAATATATTTGTTCCCACTGTGGGTCTGACAAACAAGATGGTGTTAGTCCTGTTATCAGAGGAAGACAGCTTCGCAAGGCAGCTAAGTCAGGAGTTGCTGTTAAGATTATTGGTGCTCCAAATTGGGAGGAATGCAGTGCTCTTGCTAAAATCGTTGTTAATTTATCTGAATGGTCAAACAAAAGCCCAACAGTAGACTGTGACTTGCAACCCTGTGCTCTCCCAGAAGGTTTACCTCGCCCGTATGGCCAGTTCTATGCTATCTCTGGGTTTTTTGTGGTATATCGTTTTTTCAACCTGTCCGCAGAAGCTTCCCTTGATGACGTATTGGAAAGGGGTCGAGAATTCTGTGAACGGAATTGGAAATATGCAAAAAGTAGCGTTCCTCCGCAGCCCTTTATTGAACAATACTGCTTTCGGGCACCGTACATAGTATCATTGTTGAGAGAGGGCTTACACATAACAGATAGCCAAATTGTTGTTGGTTCTGGTAGTATAACTTGGACACTTGGGGTTGCACTGTTGGAAGCTGGGAAAACATTTTCAACTAGATTACGGCTTCATAAGTATGAAATATTCCGTATGAAGATACATCCAGCCGTTCTCCTTGCCATTTTGCTTATGTCATTGTTTATGTTGCTATGTGCATTATCATGTGTTGGCAACTGGATTCCGAGGTTTTTCCGGCGACCATATCTTCCACTTTTCAGGCATAACAGTGCATCTACCGCTTCTGTTCTCAACATCCCCTCCCCCTTCCGTTTTCAACGGTGGAGTCCTATGAATACTGGTAAGATTTTCTTAAATATCCTTATATTTTTTACCTCACAGAATAATTCTTCACATGAATGTACTGCCACATGTTTACAAAGGTTGAGAGCACCTTTTGTTACTTGTTATATAGAAAGCAGAAAAACTTCTGTTCTTGTTGTATTTCATGCAATTATTCACGGCCAGTCATTCTGTTCCCTTTAGTTTAAATTTTCAATGAAAAACTATGTAAATTTTAATGATTTTAATTGATCTCTCCCAGATTATATTTGTTTAGGCGAACTCGAGGACCATACGTTTTATCATCAAGCCTTGATAGAAATGCCCTTCAAGTAAAAACTGCTGGATCAAAGTCATTTATATGAGTGACTGATTTCCTGTCTTTCTCAACTTTCTGGCTGCGATTTACTCCATATGCTACCTTTCCTTAGTTTATGTATTCCTGGTTAGTTCTGCATGAAGTTTTCTACGAAGCGGTTACTATCATTCCATCTTCCTGAGGGTATTCTACCCAAAATATCATATTAGCATAATCTTAAATGTCAAATTGCATATTGAATTAGCATTGATTTGCAATTAGGACAAAATGGTTAGGATCCTGAAAATAAAATGCCGGAACCTCTATCTTATAACTAGAGTTGAGATCTCAGATGGGAGAAGTACTGTTATTAGAAGCCTTTCAAGCTTTATGTAAGGGTCCTTCGGTCTTAACAATGGTTGGTTCTCTTTAAAGTAGGTGCCTGAGTTGATTCTATGGGGTACTTCAGAGGTTTCCCCCTCCGAGTTATAGAGGCATTTCAGAGAAGTTAGATGCTATCCCATCTTTGAATCATATGTAAACAACTAAATATGTAGTTTATCAGGTGATGGCATTTAGTATTATTTTTATGTTAGCTAAATACTGGTTTATAATGTTATCCCTGAGAACTGGAGGGAACCTGGTAAGCTGGCATGAAGGGTAAAAAAGATATTCCCTACCCAATTTAGATGGATTGCAGACCTGTCTGATTTATGCTCAAGTTGTTTTATTTTGTTTTACCATTAAAAGTCTTTTCCCACCAACTTTGCCTCTCTTTTGAACCTTGACCTATTGTTCTGGATTTCCCTTTGACACGAGTGAATGCAACATCAAATATTTCAGGTGATGGAAGAGTGAAGATGCCATTGAGTCCAACAGTAGCAAGTGGGCAGTATCGACCGTTTGGATTGGGCCATGGTCTGGGTGAGAGTGGGGTCCAGCTCATGGAACCTGCCATATACACAGCGAGTGGCAGTGTTTCGCATAGTTATTCCTCCAACAGCTTAGGGCAGATGGTTGAGAGCAGTAGCATGGCTTCCTTCTGGCCCCCTCACAGAGGTCAGATGCGCCTTCAGAGTAGAAGATCCCAATCTAGAGAAGACCTCACTTCGTCCGTCGCTGATGCACATATGGTGAAGGTTTAGATCATCTGTCCCTTGAAACTAATGGTAAGGAGAAACGAAATCGGGAAAATGAAAAAAGAAGTGGCAGCTGTAGAGGAAATGGACTTTGGTATGCTAATCCATATCTGTATTCTGACCTCTAATTTCCTGCAGATCCTGGTCTGCATTGCCTGACTTTCACACTCGTTAACTCGGTCTCCATTGCAGTACAAGTGCCCAGCTCTTTTGTGAAGCAAGCTAGCGGGGTTGCAGTTTTACAGAAAATTCCTGACAGGTGCTTGCACTAACCTTCCCTGTTTTGTTTCCCCACCGCAAAAATCCTTGGTGCTATTTTTACTTGCTCACTAGGCAACCTGTTCCCACATGTAAGATGCGACCTCATTTTGAGAGAGAGAGAGACAGAGCATTCATTCCAGAGTCTGTTTTAGACATGTTTTAGATCTGCAGAGCAAAGGAAAGTAAAGGGTAGTGGGTTTTAGCAGAAAGGAATAGACAAGTTGGTGGCAAGAGATATGCAATACCTGTATTTTTTTTTTTTTTTTGGTCAACTCTTGAATACATGGTGTTAGAAATTGCTGAAGAAGTCATTTGGTTGTAATTGGGAGGGTGAAATTCGTAATTGACTGCAATTGGACAAATACATTGTTTTTAGTGACACTTTGTGATATAATTGAGTGCAAAACACACCGAGTTTCCAAATACTTCTCACAGCCAAGTAATTCGTAAATGCAATTTCAATTACTAGGTGGTGAGAAGTGTATCGAAACTCATTTATTGGGCCAAGTGATTTTTTGGAAAATGCTCGGAGGTTTCTGTGATCGAGAGGTCTTCTGTTCGAATCTTGTTGACACATATTTATTTGGACTTGTACAAATTTCAAGCCTATACGTGTGGTGGCTTTCGTTTGATGGAGTGTGTTAGTACATGTTCTATGATCCACTATGGAACCAACTCACGGGTTTGAAATTTGGACGGGCACACGATACCTTATGCTTTAATGAACTGTTGATATTGGGGGTCGTGGAGATTTGAACAAACGACCACTTGGCCAAACTATTTCTAATACCATGTCATGAATCAATTGATCACAATAACTCAAATTATTGGGATCAACTGGTTGATGACAAACATATAATTGAGAAGGAATGGGATTAGGTGCTAAACTCCAGTCATGGTCTTTGATCAACAAGCCTGCATAGCCATTTTGTCTTTGGTTTAATGCATGCCAATAGTGATGGTTGTAAAACGATGTTTTGATGTTTGAGCATCCTTCAGCAATTTTTTTGAAATGGGACCACGTTGGTCTTCCATTATGGCAATATTCTATGTCGATATTCTATTACAAGAGCACAAAAGAGTTGGTTAATTGGATGAATGTGACGCTAGTTTACAAACTATGAAGGGGAAAAATATCTAAAAATTTGGATATTGTCCAAACCCAATTTATTACCGATTGAATTAAGTTTGGGTAATATAACTTTGGCAAAATATACTTATATTGTCAAAAATTTCGCGCATGTGCTAGTAATAGCAAAATCTGGAGAAATACCACTTATAGCCAGATTTTGTAGTGGTTGTAGGAGAAATATAGCTATTTCCGTTAGATACTTTAACGGTGTTAGTAACACCGTTAACTTCTTTAATGATTTGCTGACTCGAGGCTTTTCTATTTTTACCCGATAATTTTTTTAATTGAATTATTATCCACGTGTATATTTGCCGAAGGAATTGGAAATAAGAGCTCGCCATGTCAGCATCTCCATTTGTCCGGTCAGACTTAACGCTAACATCGTTAAAGATATGGATAGAAGTGGTTATATGATATTTCTTCAAATTTGACTATTATTGTCACAAACCAATACGAAAGTTTTGAATTTACAAGTACATTTTCTCTATAACTTTTGAAGAATATCCATACTCAACATTTTTTTGAACTAAATTATATATGGAGTGTGTTTGGGCCTTTGAGCCTTCAGGGACATTTCTACATTTGGGCTGCTCAGGTTTTGAGACCAATTTGCCGGCCCGATCTGCTCCGAATCGAGGCGGCAACGGCCAACGAGGCACTTGCGGACTGCAATAAAAAAAAAAACAAAAATCTAATCAAACGGCCGTTAAAAAGACAGTAGATTAGTAGGTGAGGTTCACACCCGTTGGCTGGCGGGGTAGAAAATGGAAAAAGCCGCCGTAGAAAAAAAATCACAAATGCTACCCGAACTTATCTTCTCTTACAATTCCAACCCTCTGCGGCTCTGTCTCTGGTCAAAACGCCGGCCATTCAATCAATGTGAGGATTATAACAAACGGAGCGCGGACGGACACGATTCCGTGGTTGGAGCCAGAAGTTAAACCGTACAAGACGACGGAAATCATCAATTCCGCCAACTCCGATTCTCCACGCCGTTTCCAATTTCGTCCTCTCGCCGGAACGAAGAGGAGAGGGGAGACTAACTAAGTGCAGCTGCGATGATGATGAGCCTCGTTTCCACCGGCGGCCACTCCCTGGCTTCGGGGCCGCTCCCTAACTTCAGGACGAAGCCACCGCAGCGCCGGAGACCTGCGCTGCCTTATCTGAAGACCCCGCGCGCCGCCATCGTGGAGTCGAGGCCGGTGAGAGTAGCGCCTGCGACAAGGGATAACGGTAGCGGCGGGCTGGTCCTCGTTTCAGCCGGAGCCGCCGGAGGAGTAGGAGGAGGAGGTAGTCGAGCTGAGGATATGCAGGCGGAAGCTAGAGCCATGGCTCGTGCAGTTGATGCTCCGGTTTTCAATCCTGAGCTTATTGCTAGCAAGTATGGCCGGAGACCTATCGAGGTTTGATTTCTCGCTCCATATCTCATTTGTTCCTTTCTGTCTTCGTTGGCGTCGTTCCTCTGGTTATGGTTCATCGTTGTGGAATTCTTCAATTTCCAGGTTGTGAGGAGGATGCTGGAGATTTTGACAGCGATAGGTTCGTTTGGGTTGAAGCTGTGGTTGGACGAGAGAAACGGAGTGTTCGATCAGAATAAGAAAGTCCGGGCGACGGAGCTTAGGCAGATTTTCACTCGATTGGGGCCGACTTTCGTCAAATTAGGGCAAGGACTCTCCACCAGGCCTGATATCTGCCCTCCCGAGTTTCTGGAGGAGCTCTCCGAGCTTCAGGTTTCCTCTTCTTTCCTTTGTAGCTACTTTTTAACGGTTAGGAAGAACACTTGGACAAGAATTTTCTCAAAGCCAATTCCTCGACCTTTACTTGTATCAGGACGACCTGCCCACATTCCCTGATGAGGAAGCATTTGCCTGCATCGAGAGGGAGTTGGGGGTGTCTCTCGACTCCATTTACTCAACGATTACGCCCTCTCCTGTTGCAGCTGCGAGTCTCGGCCAAGTATACAAAGCTAAGCTCAAGAACTCTGGACAAACTGTTGCTGTAAAGGTCCAACGCCCCGGAATCGAGAAGGCTATTGGCCTTGATTTCTACCTCATAAGGGGGCTTGGCGGATTGATCAACAAATACGTTGATTTCATCACCAGTGATGTTGTTGCTCTGATTGATGAATTTGTATTCAGAGTGTATCAGGAGCTCAACTATGTCCAGGTTATTTCTCAGAGATTCCACTATTTTCCCCATTCCCATTGCATATCTTGAGCATCCTTCTGTGACCTGAACAGTGGCATGTGTTAGTAGTCTTTTTTGGTAATTTTCATTTGGGTTTTGATGTAATTTTGGACAGGATCATTCGTGCAGGAGGGGCAAAATGCAAGGAGATTTAAGAAGTTGTATGCTGACAAGGAAGATATAATGGTTCCTGATATTTTCTGGGAGTACACAAGTGGCAAAGTTTTGACAATGGAATGGGTAGAGGGTGTTAAGTTGAATCAACAAGAGGCTATAGAGGGTCAAGGGTTGAAGGTTCTCGATCTTGTGAACACGGGCATACAGTGCAGCCTCAGGCAGCTCCTTGAATATGGATATTTCCATGCAGACCCTCATCCTGGTAATCTGTTGGCAACACCAGAGGGAAAGCTTGCTTTTCTTGATTTTGGTATGATGAGTGAGACACCAGAAGAGGCAAGGTTTGCTATAATTGGTCACGTGGTACACCTGGTTAACAGAGATTATGAAGCTATGGCTCAGGATTATTACGCTCTCAAATTCCTCTCTCCAGATGTCGATGTTACCCCGATTGTTCCAGCATTGCAGAATTTCTTTGATGATGCACTCAATTATACCGTCAGTGAACTCAACTTCAAAACCCTAGTGGATGGACTGGGAGCTGTTTTCTATCAGTACCCATTTAATGGTGAGTTCCATGCCTGAGTGCTTGAACACTGCTTTCTCCGTTCCATTTTTACTGATACCGATGTTGACACCGAAATTACATGCAGTTCCAGCATACTATGCATTGATATTGAGATCCCTCACTGTGCTCGAAGGATTGGCCCTTTATGCTGATCCTAATTTCAAGGTTCTGGCTGCTTCATACCCTTATTTCGCAAAAAGGCTTCTCACTGACCCGAACCCATATCTAAGAGATGCTCTTGTTGAGCTGCTTTTTAAAGATGGGAGGTTCAGGCACGTCTCTCACACTCTCTCTCTCTGTGTCTGCTTCCTTTGATTCCTTGGGATGCTTGGATGGTTCAATATTCTCTAACTTGTGTTGCAGATGGGCGCGACTTGAAAATCTACTTGAACAAGGAAGCAAAGACCGAGATTTTTCAGCAAAAGATGCTTTACAGCCCGTTTTGAAACTACTGTTGGCCCCAGATGGTGAAGAGTTGAGAAGATTGGTTGTGAAGGAAGCTGTATACGTATCAGAAGCCGTAGTTTTGACCTCAGTTGTTGATACTTACAACTCCATACCCACTGTCTTAAGACCTCCAATCCTGAATGGGAATGGAAGAGGGCCTCTCCCGATGACTGATGCTGAAGTGCTAAGAATTAGGGAGTTCAGAGACCTAGTTGTCAGAGTATGGGGACTTTTACAAACCTCTGAAGATTTCGACCCAGCCCTTTTGCAACCTATATTGCAGGTAATGAATATGAGTTTTGTTACTCTCAGCTGTTACGTCAAATTTCACGCATCGGTTTATCCAAACTGAGTGTCTTTCGCATCCATACAGGTCCTTCAACAGCCCGAGGCACGCAGTCTTGGTGGACGTGTCATTGGTGGAGTAACTCAACGCCTTGCAGCACGATTGTTGCAGCAAGTGCTTCGGACGCCACCACCTGTTCCAACCTCATAGGCGATTTCTGATCTTGGTTTCAGGTAAGAAAGATTCATGTAAACTTGTACACTACTGAAAAGAAGGGGTGGGTAAAGGGTGAAAATTTGAGATGCTGATTGGATGCTCTCGCCAATTGTTTCTCACAATCATGTATAATAGACAAACTTCCAATACTCATAATTCAATTCGAATCCAGCACATTGACAGGCAGTAGACGATCTTGTGTTGGGGAAATCGAACACAACTGTGTATATATTTTACCATCTTGTTGAACTCTCGAGTGGATCCCGTTCTTGAAATCACCCGGGAAAGATTCTCCGTAGATTGTTACATTACCATTTCACATATTGGATGAACATCTGATGAAATTGGGACAATGTAGTAGATGAAAATGGCAAATTGAAAGTCGGTATTATTCGCAAAAAACTCTGGAAGGAGGGCAAGCAGGCTGGCTGGGTTTCTCCTCTACGAGGCGCAGTGTATCGATAATTGGTTATCGGTTAACCGACATTGAATAGGCAGTACTATAAGCTCCTAGAATAGGCAATACTAACTCACATTGAGAGACAAAGAGATGGATACGGTTACATAACAAGGATAGAGATCGAAGTGAGGGTGCTACTTACATCTACTAGTGTGAGCGAGAGTGTCTAACCCCTGGCACGGCATTTTTTGCCCGCCTACACATCAATTACAGATTACCACAGCCAACCCTGCACTCTCATGACCCGAGGGATTCGCAGATCCGCCGCACAACAATTTGTGGGAGAAGAATTTGAGATTCAAGAAATTAATTGTAAGTCGAGGGGCGGGGTCGAGGGGCTATGTATAAGGTATTACCGAGATCAATTGGCGATTGAGCAAGTGGGTTCCATCTATCAAATACGATTCGCCCACCTCGCCCAATTCTTCCTCGAAATCTGTATGTCACTGCTGACCCACCGTTCCTCGACGATGGATCTGCTGGCGGTACTATCCCAGCCGATGCCAATTTGTCAGGTACGAGAGGCTTCGTGAACAACAATACCGGTTCATTTGGATCCTGTATTTTGGAAAGAAACGGTGAACTGATGAGGGACTGATCCAATGGCAGTTTCTGCTGATGAGAGTGAGCCACCAAAGAGGGAATGAGGGAAGAGATGGACAAAAAAATGCACGCACCATTTTGTGGAGCCATCCATCGATTGCATGCCGCCGGCGTAGCTCTTGCTTCATGGTTGCTGCTGGTGGGAAGTTGACCATGTTGCTGGAATCTGTTGTCATGGGGGGCAGGGGAAGGGGAGGACGCGTACGTGGACGACTGTTCACGAAGTCGTCTGAATCTAGAATTTCATCTTCGCTTGATGCAAACTTAGAGATGGGTTGTAATCCATGAAGAGCCAAGCTATCTTCAAGTAGCTCCGTCTCGTGCTAAATACATCAAAAGGATCTCTATTAATGTACGACAATCTAAAAGGAATAATGAGATATTGCTATTAGCTTCTGCATATTTTGGTTCTGCCTGTTATTTGAGGCGCATTAAAGTAGTGTTCGGCATATTAAACACATTCGTAATGGATAAGCCAATAATAGGTTCAATAGTAGGTTAAATTCTGACAGCCAACTTAACAGAGAACAAGAGACACGAACAAAAACAAGTCACACATCAATTGATCATACCTTGTACTTGATTTGGATCCTCTGGAGACCGACTTCACTCTCAATCACTTCTCTTTTCTTCTCTTCCCTCTGCAAAAGGAAGCATGATTTTAGGACAGAATGCCAACATATAGGAACAAAAGGGCCAAAATTGACTAAATCTTAATTATCAATGAAGTGTAAGCAGATTAAGCACCTTAATCAGAGCCTCGAGTATAGTCTTGGCTTGCTCAAGATTGCGCCTGACCTGAAAATAGTAATGTCAAATGACAATGAGTTTTACTACAATCAAGACTAGAGCATTTTCATCCTATTTGGTTTGGAACGAAACATTTGCAAGTGCTACATAGACCATGACATGTGTATGTATGCATGTAGATGTATAAGCGTCTGTATAAGAGTTAGGACCTCGTGATCAACACTATACAGAAAGCAAAACGAACCACTCAAGAACAGTATGCGTAAGGCCGCCTGAGTGAAGTTGGTATAGAATCTAGCGACCAAATGAATGTAGAGAACACGGCACATTCTTCGCCAACAATTCAAGATTATCATGCTGCCTAGACAACACATGATCAAGGTTCAATCCTCATAGACCATACAAATTGGAATACACTGCAAGTCTGCAACTAAAGCTCATGTGGCAGTTTATGAAAGCCTTTGACTGACAACTCGTTTCTCAGCAGCCAAATGAGCCTTGGGAAAGCATGAAGCTTGTTCACAAGATAAAGAAGGTAGGTCAGCCAGCTATGAGTATACTTAAGTAATGGCCTTACAGAAAATAGCTTTTCTGATCTTGTATGTTGTACCACTCCTGTAGACAAATGTAGCTATCAAAGAAAACTAAACTGAGAAGATATAAACACTGACCTGGCGAAGCTTTTCAAATGATTGTACATTATTTTCCCTCCTCTGCATCTGCAGAGAGGAGCATTAAGAGTTTTCGCATCAATTGATAATTGTAGTGCTTTTGGGAAAAATTAGAGAATCGAAGACACTGTCCCTGAAATGTAGACAGATATGCCTACCCTTCTTGTATGCAGCCTGTGTGCTTTCTCACGTGGCCTGAAGACATTGTATGGGTTTGTGTCATTCACTGGGGGAGGAGGCTGCACCACGAAAGAGATGGCATTAAAATAGAAAATGCTGAAATCCAGATGAGAGAAGTCAACCAAAGCACAAGCAACTTGTTTCTACAGACCTCAAAACCCGCTGAAATAGCAATAAACCCCATAGTCGCCATGAAAAACAAACTACGTGTCCTCTCCTGTGGTCAACATTTTATTCTTCGGGCATACGTAACCCATGGTTGTTGTGGCATTATCTATTTTTGTCACAATTGTCCAACAGTTTGAGTGTAGCATATCTAATCTGATGTGGATGTCTTAGTATCTTACGTCCTCCTAGTTTCCTCATCTCAACGAACTATGATTTTGTTTCTGGTCCTTATGGAGGGAAATCAATACTATATTTGCTGACATCAAGCCATGAAAACCCAACCAGCTGAACTGAACTATCCCAACTCTTTATATGCATAAAAGTAGTTTCAGGTCATACAGAATCATGAAGTTCAACAACAGAATATATCGATAGGTATCGGAAGAATAAATTTATATAAACAATCATAAAAAAATTACACAGCAGTGAAGAAAATTACAAACCTGCAGTCGGCGTAAAACAGGCTTTTGCCATCTTTCACGCTGGCCATAACAAGGGAAAAACGAAACTGTTAAACACTAAACTTTGATAATTGACATCACAATACAGATAACACACCTGCATAACCCCGAAAAAAGTGAGTGGTTACAGATCATCCAAGCAAAGAACCATATTGAGACAGTAAGTAGATTTTTCAATTTCAAGTTCATTTCCCCTAGCTAAAATTTAACAAGAACCAGGCTGTAAAATTTATTAGAGGGTATTGTATAATCATGGATTTGATAACTGTAACTGCTCAAATAATCAAATGGAGACATAGCATAACATCAAGAGCCATTGTTCTATCAAATATTAAGCAAGGCATAGCTGATATTGTAACAAATACTCTTCTCAACGAGCCAAAGGATAGTGATAAAGGTACTTAAATCCAGATAGTACACAACTGACTAGTTGTGAAAAAGACCAACAACCCGGGCAGCCAACATACAGAGCAACACCTCTAAATTTGTTAAGCGAAAAATACGTGTGCTTCGTTTTTAGGCTGTGCTGCAAATATAGGACATACAAGTTAAAGGTGCAAAGCTCAGGTAGGGGAAGAAGATTGATGTTATGTGTATTCTTAGTAAGACGACGTCAATTTGAGTTTGTTCGGAAACTTATCTTCAGTAGAGAACAGGGAGAAGCACAAAGAAACAAAGCCAGGTCAATGTTACTTGAAACGACAGATGCTAACATCTGCTGCAAAACCTATTCCACATTCTACGGTCTCAAGTTCATATTAGTTCATGATATGGTTTTGTATATCTTCATCATCACTTATTTGATATAGAATATAACCTTTTCTTTCCAGTAATTATAAACCGACTGGAGAACCACATCTCTGACAGACTGAGCTTGCAGTGCCTGCAAGTAGAAGAGAAGAAAGAAAAAATAACAATTCAGAAACGAAGCCAAATTATATAAATCATAGATCATTGGAAGTAATATAGATTGAAGTGTCAGAACCAGAGGTAACCGAATTCGATATGCGTCAAGGGTACCAAAAACAACAACTGGGGTCCAGTGCCACCTATAGAAAATGACATCTAAACCTTGCAAAACACTATTGCATACAAAATAACCTCCGAACCGTAACCATACACCAAAGCATCCCAGAACTAAAGGGGGATATAATGACCATCCTACAAACATGAGCTTACCTGAAAAGAGCAGCTACTAAACTTTTGAAACCAAAGTACTATAAACGAAAATAAAACTACACGATGGAACTGAAAAGTGGATTCTCGATATACTTCTCACTAACTAGTCCACGAAGATAAAACTTCTCAATGATATTAAACACCTTAGCGCTTCTTCAAATAATTTTAGAATGTAAACCCAGGGCAAGGAGGCATTCCCTATGTCTTTGATCTTAAATGTGCTCGTGGTTGATGTGTTAACCATATTACTCATTACCAAGAACAAATATGCACAAACAAAATTTTACCTCAATAGCAGCATCTAGTTGTAGAAGTACAGGGATCGGGGAACCAAGGGTTGGTGTTATAACTCCAGCTCTTTCCCGAGCTTTATGATCTAACACCTCCAACTTGAATAGGAGTACTTCGAACCTACAGCAATAGGCAATACCAGTATAAGGAGATTATCCAGTAAAGAGTTAACCGTTGCTCGACTTTAAGTAGACTGAAATTTGTTACGGGATCGCCAAAATGTCCAATTTAGAGGAAAAAGGATACATAGACCGGGGGGCAGGGGCCAACTATAACTCCTCTACAAGACCTTCCGTACTTTGATGCAGCATGACAAATAAACATTGTAAATAGGAGAAATAAGCCAAACTACATGAAAATTTGATGCAATGAGCAGGCTAAACATATCTCAGAAGCAGAAATGAACGCATGAATCTCACAAAGGAAACCCTCAGCACGGACTAACAGGCATAGAAGACAGAAATGCTGGTTGAGCTAGATAAGCCAAAAGTTGATTACCATTTGGATACATAATTATAGACTAAAGCATGTCCAGGCAAACTAATAACAAATGTGAAACGATCAATGACTAATGTTTACTTTTCAGGAGAAAGGTTCTTCCTGTCTTTGTTGAACTCTTGAAGCCAATCCTCATCTTCATTATCGATATCATATTCAACAAATTCTCCAATCTCAGCTCGAGCTGCAAAAGAATTAACAATGGAACTTAGGAGTTACACTTAGACAGAGCATAAATTCCAAATGCGTCAACAACACAACCTATAATTTGGGATGATTGGAAACTGAAACTAAACAAAAAAGGAAACATATGGAGTTCTATTTTCAATTTCCAGCTGGATTTCCGATTAGAAACTTCAATCTACCCAAATAAATAGTTTCTTAGACTACAAGTTAAGGAAGAGAATTACAAATTCTAACATGACCAAGTTCATCAGCTGAAAGCCAAACAAAAGACACTGACCTCCCCTTGCTCGAATGTAAGAATTGGGCTGAGCGAAGGTTCGCTGATAGTCTCGTTCATAAGTATCAACAGCATCAAATTGGGGTGTGGGTATTTCAGAAGCTAATTTCTTGGTAGGAACGTGGGGCTGATGCGCCTTAAACACAGAAAGGAAAAGTAAGAAATGAAGTAAAAAAATGAGGACGAGAAAAAGCCCCGAACTTTCTCAAGCCACTTGGAGACTCAAATGATCGATCAGAGCAGTTTGCACTACAGTAATGCAGCTCAGAGGAATGCATTATACCTCATTCTCGAAGTCAGCAGAAGCAACCCGGAGCAGCTGAGAATTGCGCGTAGAACTGGGAGTTGAATCATCTTCTTCAAAATCCTTAACCGATTTCACAATAGGGAGCTTCTTGTGAATGTCAAGCGGACGCGGCCGGAAGGACAGCCTACTCATCCTCACTTCCCACCTCTGCCTCTTCTACTACTAACACTTCTCCGCGTCTCCTGCTAGCAGTTTGATGATATCTCATCTCCTGCACGACCTATCTTCGACAATGCGATGCTCATGCAACGCAGGATTGAACATTAGCTAGCTCGCCGCTCCGATCAAGACAATTTAGGGTTTGCCACAGCAAAAAATGTGGCGCCAATTAGTCGCAGAAGTAAGTATCTCTTCTTCTCTTTACCGCCCGCTGAGGTTGTCGGAATCCGATTACCGAATAATTATACGATAGGTTTGCTAAACTCTCCCCCCGGTTCCAGCTCGGTAGGCAATTCAATGGCGATGCTTTTGGGTTTTAGGGTTTGCAGAGAGAAAGCGAAGAAGAAACAGAGAGCGCGAGCGCGAGAGAACGTTGCAGAGAGAGAAGAGAGCGCGAGAGAGAGAATGTAGGAACTGGGCCTGGAGAGTGAAGGTAACGGGCTTCGTGTCCTTACTTTGATACGGGCCGTTGTTTTTGGGCCTTCAGTCCGGCCCATTTATACTCGGCAACGGCAAGCGGGTAAATTCCGTCTTCAACTCTTCATCCTGCAAATCAGTTAATCGAACAGTTGATTGATTGATTGATTCGATCGCCATTGGAGAAAGGAAAGGAAGCAGGTGGTGGCAGAATGGAGGTGGAAGGAAGCCCCGTAATGAGGGTGCAGAGCATAGCACAAGCTGGGAAATCAGAAGTCCCACCGCAATACATCCAGCCACCTTCCGATCGGCCGAACAACAACGCCGGTGGTAAGTCCGGCGGCGGCGGAGATGTTCCGGTGATCGACCTCGGCGGAGATTCCGTTCGAGAAGCAGTTGGGCGGGCTTGCCGGGACTGGGGAGCTTTCCAGGTGACGAACCATGGGGTGCCCATTCGATTACTGGACGATATGAGGAAGGTCGGTATGTCGTTCTTCAACGAATGCCCCATGAAGGACAAGCTCATGTACGCCTGCTCGCCGGATTCCGCCGCGGCGGAGGGCTACGGGAGCAAGATGCTCGTCGACAGCGACGAAAACCACGGGGTGCTGGATTGGAGGGACTATTTCGACCATCACACCTTGCCGCTCTCTCGCCGGAACCCTTCCAATTGGCCTCATTACCCGCCCAATTACAGGTAAGCCCTAGATTTCTTCTTATTCAGGTCATGTCTCGGATTTGGAATATAAATGAGAAAAGGAAGTTGGGTTTTGATCGCAGGGAAGTTGTTTCCCAGTTTAGCGATGAAATGAATGTGCTTGCGCAGAAGCTGCTGGGAATTATATCCGAGAGTCTTGGGCTGCCGTCTTCTTGCTTGAAGGATGCTGTGGGGGAATTCTATCAGAATATTACTGTCAGTTATTACCCTCCCTGCCCTCAGCCAGACCTCACCTTGGGTCTACAGTCCCACTCGGATTTCGGGGCTCTCACTTTGTTGATTCAGGATCAAGTTTCTGGTCTTGAAGTGCTGAAAGACTCCCATTGGTACCCTGTCCAACCTCTACCTGAAGCCATTGTTGTCCTTGTTTCAGATCAGACAGAGGTAATACTGCTCTACTGTTATTTTGCTTTGCAAAGAGATAATTGTCATTGAATGTTATCTTCAGACTGAACTCTGTTTCATAGCTAGCTGCTTTCTTCAAAATTCTGAATGGTGTGTTAATTGGTTGAGATCACATTGGCAACCTAAGGGGATATTATATGTCCATTGGTTTGAGTTGTGGGCTAGCAATAGCATGCAGTTGTTGCAGGAGATGTATCGAATATGATATCCTTTTGTTGAAATGAAATTATGGCAAATAATACAACTCTACAGCACTGCTGAAATTTCGTCATAATTAATGGCTTAGACCATATACGTGGTGCTTGAGCGCCTTTGTGTCACCCACCTCTACTCTTCATCCCCCACTGTCTACAGTGTCAGGTGTGAAGCACCTGAAATTCATTGAAGAAATGGGGCATTTATATCCCCGGCATATCCTTCTCCATCAACATAGAACATTTCTTTGGGGCCATGATCTCTGTCTTTTTTGTTATGCTGTTCAATCATTTCCATTTTGACTACTGGTGTGAGAACTGAGATCATGGTTCTTGTAAGTAAAGTTTCTATCCAATCCTGTTCCTAGGCACCAACCTTCACTGTCACTGGGTTGGGTGGGCAACATGTCATTCCCACTAAACCCCCCAACATAGTTCTCACTTCGTTCATCGTTATGATGTTCCAATACAGCCGAGGATTTTCTTCTAAACCCGACCAACCTGGCGTCGTACTTCCACTGATTGATTTAAAGTGAACAAGCTCTTGGCTGAATGATATAGTCCTTTATCACTAAGATAAAACTCATAAAAGCTAGTGCTGTTTCCTGAAAGTACAACTTGTAAACATCATATTCTGTTGCTTTTTGTGGCTTGAGATAAGAATGCTTGCTTTTGCTTGGTTGCTTGCAGATCATCACCAATGGCAACTACAGGAGTGCTGTGCACAGAGCTGTAACCAATTCCAAGGGAGCAAGGTTGTCAGTGGCGACGTTCCACGACCCATCGAAGACGAGAAACATATCCCCAGCTTCCGAGATCGTGTGTCAGTCATCTCCTGCAAGGTACCGAGAAGTGAATTATGGCGATTACATGTCAAGATGGTATACCAAAGGCCCCGAAGGCAAGAGGAATGTTGATTCACTCCTCATTGACCCTTAGGCTTTTTGTAAACTCTTCCCAGCTGCCCTCGTCACAGTGTTGCCAATGCAGATGTCTGCGTGATTGCAGCAAGAACAAATCAACTTATCTTTCTAATTTCAGTCTTTAGATTTCTTTTTGTCATACAAGTGAATAAAGTTCCATGCCCGAATTTATCGAGATCGATCAATAACGTACATGGTGCATATGGCTTATCTGGTGATCCAGAGGTCAGCATTGTAGACCTCTTCCCACAAACAAAAGGGACTGTTGAAATTGTCAAAGAACAAGAGGAAATCATGAAACCTACAAGTTACACTACAATGTTGAAATGTTATTGTATTATGTATAGCTTGATCGTTAGTGATCGAATATTGAATACGACGTCACTAGCATGTTAAGTTAGCTTTAATTATTATAAGTGGACATTAACCTCATTTTGGCACATATAACACACGTTTCTCTGGAAATTCGTTAGTTACTCGACACACCACGCTTTAACGAAGTTTATCAACACCCCGTATAATGCTTTCACATCGATAAAGCATTAGAGAAATCTATGATTCGCAAGTAAGAAACCAACCTTAACTGACAAAGATTATGTTTGTCCCAACTTTTAGAAGTGCTTTTCATCTTCAAAAACTGAGGCAGGGCCAAACACCTCTAAAAACTCGATTTTTGAAAAGCCGAAAAACGATTTTGTATAACATAAAAGCATAAGCTCCGATTTGGAGTTTCTGCGAAAAGCTTTTTTGAAAATACAAGATTATTCTTACCATATTTTAATTTTATTTCAGAAAATACAATTTTAATACATTTATATCATTTTAAAAATAAAATAAATTATAAAATCATATTATTTAATATAGAAGAAGTCTAACAAGATTCATTTTGACTACATATTATTGTTTATAACTATTATTCATAGTTTATATTATAAGTCCTTTATAGTCATTTTACACAACCTCTCATATTAAAAATCACTTTTAATAGTTTTTGCAACCAAACACTCAACTGCTTTTTTTGAAAAATACTTCTCTAAAAGCTCAAGGCAGAAGTTGTTTCTGTCAAAGCTACAGCAAGGTCAAACTGAGCCAAAAACATATTTTGGTGTGAAATTGAGAAGTTTTTGAGTGAATTTTGGGAAGTCAGTTTGATATGCACCTCAATGCAAAATACGAGAGGATCTGGGCCCAAAGTCGATAATATTTTATTGAAAAAATGTTCTGAATGTTACAACAAGAGGTATCAAAACCTCTCCGCATCCTCTTAATCGATGGCGAGGCAAACCTCAACGAGCACGTTGAGTCACAAAGGGGAAGGGGTGCATGTAACACCTTAGGCGAATCTCACATCGACAAAACATGAGAGATCCATGATTTATAAGTAAGAAACCAATATTAACTGACAATACGTGTTTAGGGGTGAATAGGGGAGTTTTTCAGAGAACTCCAAAAATTTAACATGCTCACTGTGGAGCATTGCAAGAATAGGTGACTTCTCGGGAAGTGACGTTGATATGCACTCGAAAATGAAATTTGTGAGAATTTAGATCCAAAGTGAACAATATCGTATCGGAAAAAGATTCGAGAGAGATTACAAAAGTTTTTGGTTGGAGTTCAATGAAGAAGAAAAAAAGACAAACATTTTTTTTTACCACTATGAAATTGCATATTTCTGTTTTTTCTTTTTTATTTTCATTCTTCCGTTACTGTAATTTAATTTGGGGATGCCAAATTAAATCCCTAATTCCCTATCGAGACAAAAAGATCGAAGGTAGAAGACGCCTCGATGCCCTTTGATTAAACGCCGAAGAGGAAAAAGAAACCAGGAAAACCCACAAAAAAAAAAAAAAAAACTGAAAAAAATAAAAATTCGCGTCGTCGTCGTCAGCTCATCCTCCACAGCGCCCTTCCCTATTCGCCCATCCGATTATCCGTCTTTCTTTCTTCTCCGATCAATCGCAGTTTGTCTCCGCCTTCAATTGTCCCCTCGCCGCCGTCCCTGCAAGCTTTTTTTACCATTTAGGGGAAGAAAGAGGAAAACGGAAAAAAACACAACGTAAGACAGCAGAGCGAAGCAAAACCGTGTCTGTTTCGTCAAAATTGGCACGTGCGCTTTCTCGGCCCCGCCCCTTTGCTTTCCCTCGTTCCTTCCCCCAATTCGCGACCTTCGTCTTCCCTCTCGCATCGCGACTTGCTTTCCAAAACCCAATCCCTAATCCAGTCAATTTCATCTCGGAATTTGCCCTCTTGATCTCGCAATCGCCTTTTTCCTCCTTTTCACCCCTGCACCCTCGTCCCTTTCAGGTTCGTTTAGGGTTTCTCCCGAATTTCATTTGTCTTCGATTGTCTGTTGCCTTGGTGATTCTGCTCCATTTTTCAATTGAACTCAGTTGGTTTCCGTTTAGGTGTGAAGTTTAGGGTTTTGCTTTTTGCTTTGGCCCCCAACTCTGCAATTTGGAGGGTGTTAATGATGTCGTGTTTTCCTTCCCCCTCCCCCTTCTATCGTCATACTCTTTTGTTAGCTTCTATCGACGATCCCACTTGCTCAAGTTTATATCTTTGCTGTGATTGAATCTGTTGCTCAATGGTGTTTGTGTCTTGGTATCGATTCTATCATTTCGCCTGAACTTTTTTTTTTTCTGTTAGAAACTGAGCTTCCTGTCAAGCCTACTGATTCAGTGAATGCCACCATTTTCTGAACTAACCACAATAAGCTGCACCTTCAGCTCCTTTGGATTCAATTAAACATTCATGTGATCAGCGTAGTTCCAAGCTATAAAGTAAATGTTTGTTTGTGGTGGTTGACTAACTTCAATGCAGTGTCCTTATCTTTTTTTTTGCGCAAGTTTACTTGCCCTGCTGCTAATTTAATGTTGCTTTTGCTGGATTTAGTCAAAGTCGGAAGCTGGGTCTTGGTCGGAGGCTCTTTTCATTATTGCACTTGGAGCTAGAGCAGCATGACTAGGTTTTAGCTTCATATAGGAGGAATGAATGTGCAGGCGCATGTGTCTGGGCAGATATCAGGGCAAGTCCCTAATCAGCTTGCCCAGCAAAATGGGAATTCTCTCCCACCTGCTCAAATGCAGGGTTTATCTGTTCCTGGTGGCGGAGTTGCTGCCGCTAGCCATATGTACGTGGATAATGAGCTTAACAGAGCTCGCATTTTTATCCGAGAGAAAATGTAAGTCTCCTTCTCAATTTTCATGTAGCTTTTATAGTATAACTTCGGAATGGCTTGATGATTGTTGGAACTTCAGCACATAGTGAACTCTTTGTCCACCCTCCAACGTATGGATCATCACATTAATCTGCTCCCCACAAGTCCTGTGCAACGCCAGACTTTTAAATTTAGTTCTTATGGAGCTGATGGGTGCAGTTATTAGTTAATGACTGCTCTGTAATTTTTCATTATCTACACAAATATATACAAGTCCGGTATAAACCTTGGGTGACAGTGCTATGACCCTGGGTTTCACAGACTTGATGGAAGAGATATTTTGCTTGTCATTTACTTTCTGCTACTCTAGTTGTTCGATTATCAATTTTCCTTTTGAAGGCCATAGTCCATGTCAGGAAAAACATATCAACTTGTTCGACTGAGCATTTGCCTAGCATTTGGTTCTCAGATTCGACTTTTCTTGTACCCCTTATACACCTTTCATCTCTCATATTCACTGTCTCTACGCATGAAACATTTCATGAATAGTTACTGTTATCATTACTCTCTTGCTGGTCTTCAGCTGTAGATTTCTGATCTGGCTTCTTTTGATATTCAAACCTCTAATATGACACCATTAACTATCTTTTTGAATTTTCTTCTTGGCCTCCATCCACCCGTTTAACAGATTTATATACATGCTTTCCAGATTTGTAATTATTACGCAGCGGCATCAGCTAGTTAGCGAAGCACATAAACAAAAATTTAGAGATATTGCCAGACGCTTGGAGGAGGGTCTATTCAAGCAAGCTTTGTCGAAGGTGGTGAGCTATTTCCTTTAGAGATACCAAATTCGCAGTGCCTCTAAACTACATAGAGAAGTTAAAATTAAACTACTGGTTTCATTTTTTTTTTTATGGTTGACAGTAAAATTTTGAAAGTTTGATAGCTCTCTGTATTTTTTGTCACTATTTGCACTAACTTCACCTTTAACTCCCTTGTTGCAGGAAGAGTATACAGACCTAGGTACTTTAGAATATCGCCTTGGTACTCTACTCAAGCGAACATCCCTGAACAGTCAAAGTCAACGCCATGCTCAAATAGTCAACTCTTCATCTTCTGTTGGTACGATGATACCAACCCCTGGGATATCTCACAGTGGGAACTCTAACTTGATGACTTCTTCTGTTGATCCAATGATGATTTCGTCTAGTGGGAGTGATAGTATAGCCCCTACATCTGTCTCCTCTGGGAGCATGATGCCTATGAGTGGTATGCAAGGTGGTTTTGCTTTGTACAGAATTGGTGCTTCTTAGTACTTGTGTGGACTATTTATGCACTTCTCTAACTGCTTCCTGGATATAAATGAATGCAGGAGCCATGTCGAATGGGTATCAGCAATCTCCAGCAAATTTCTCTATTAATTCTGGTGGGAACATGTCATCTATGGGGGTGCAAAGAATGGCAAGCCAGATGATCCCCACTCCTGGATTCAATAGCAACAGTAATAATAGCCAGTCTTACATCAATATGGATTCTGCTAACAGCAGTGTTGGTCATTCAACTGTTGAAACTACTATGTTACAATCTCCACAGCAGAAGCAGTTTCTCGGTGGTCAAAACAGTCGTATATTGCAAAACCTTGGCAGCCAAATGGGTAGTAATATCAGATCTGGTTTGCAACAGAAATCATATGGTTTTGCTAATGGGTCTTTAAACGGTGGAATGGGGATGACGGGGAACAATATTCAGCTTGTGAACGAACCTGGAACCTCCGAGGGCTATATAACTGCCACTCAGTATGCAAGTGCACCCAAACCACTTCAGCAGACCTTTGACCAACAGCAGCAACAATTAGTGCATGGTAAATCCTCAGTCTTATACTTTCCTGCTACAGAAACACACATGGGCACACACATATACACCTCTATGCACCTAGATATCCTTGCAAAGAGACCGACGTGGTCGTTAGGATGAAATATTTCCATTTGTGCTGTGACTAGTTGTATCATGTTTTCGATGTCCAAACTATGACTAAATGGAATTTGTTGATCCAGGTGATGGGTATGGCATGGCATCCGATCCTCTTGGATCTGGGAATTTTTATGGTGCCGTATCATCTGCTGGATCCATGATGAATGCCCAGAATATTGGTGGCTTGCAGCCTATGACAAAGTCTGGCTCTCATATGGTTAGTAATTCTTCAAATTTACATGGCATGCCACAGGCTGTGCATGTAAAGACTCAACCAGTTGAACAGTCTGACAAAGTGAACTATCCTCCCCAATTATCATCTAGAGAAAGTCTCATACAGTCTCATCAACAACAACAATTTCATCCAAATCCTCATCAGATGCAGCAGCAGCAGCACCACTTCATTCAACAGCAACGTCTTCATAGGCAGCAAAGCCAGCAGCACCAGCAGTTACTGAATACAGATACTTTTACACAGCCTCAGCTACCCTCTGAAATTGCTCATCCAGTAAAGCGTGAGCCTGGATTGGAGATTCAGAATGAGTTGTTAAACACACAAACTTCTGAGCAGTTCCAAGTTCCTGCATTGCAAAACCAATTTCAACAGAATACTTCTGAAGATAATTCTCGTGGTGCACAGAACGTCTCTCTTGCTTCTGGACAGCATGAACCATATACACCTCAATTGCCTCAATGCTCACAGCAAATGCAGCAGATGTTGCATCCTCATCAGCTAGTGCCAGACTCCCAGAATAATTTTAACAGCCTTCCTGTTGCAACACAACCGGAGTCGTTACAGGGTCAGTGGCACCCTCAGTCACATGACTGGGCTCACATGCCAGGGAGCATGTCACACGAGCAGCACTTCCATGAGGAATTCCGCCAAAGAATATCCAGGCAAGATGAAGCGCAACGTAACAACTTAGCATCAGAAGGACCTATTACTGGTCAAACTTTTCCACCTCGGAGCACAGTAGAGACTCGGATTGTAGGAAACAATGCCAATTATAAGTATGGTAATGCAAATCGTGACCGGCAGTTCATAAATCAACAGAGGTGGCTTTTGTTCTTGCGGCATGCTCGTCGTTGTACAGCTCCTGAAGGGAAATGTCAAGAGAATAATTGCATTACTGTCCAAAAGTTGTGGAGGCATATGAGTAAATGCACTATTAAGCCTTGTCCTTATCCTCGGTGCCAACGCACTAGGGAACTGCTCCACCACAACAAAACCTGCAGGGATGCAGGATGCCCTGTTTGCATTCCTGTAAAAAATTATCTGGAGAGTTACTTGAAGACACACTGTCGTCCAATCCCAGATGCTGCTGCTGCTTTGCAGAACAAGCCCAATGAGAATACAGATAATGCATCCAGATTGATTGCTAGAGCTCCTTTGGTTGTTGAAACTTCAGAAGATCTACAGCCATCTTTGAAGCGCATGAAGATAGAGCAATCTCCTCAATCCGCTAAGCCTGAGAGTGAAAGTTCAGCTTCGGCAGCTAGTGATGCTCATATGACTCAGGATGGCCAATGTCAAGACTACAAATATGGTGATGCTAGTGTGCCGGTTAAGCCAGAGTACATCGAGGTAAAGTTGGATGGTCCACTGAGTTCCAGACAAGCGAACACTAACAATGCCGATATGAAGAAGGATAACCTGGATGACATAACCAGCCAAAGGCTGAATGAATCTATTGTACAAGATGGGCCTGCTGATGTAGCTAGACAGGATGTTGTCAAAGTTGAAAAGGAAACTGATCCTGTGAAGCAGGACAATGTTTCACAGCCGGCTGAACCTGCAGCTGGGACTAAGTCTGGAAAGCCAAAGATTAAGGGTGTGTCATTGACCGAATTGTTTACACCAGAGCAAATCAGAGAGCATATCACAGGTCTCAGGCAGTGGGTTGGTCAGGTATTTGCCCTTTCATGAGAATATATTATGTTCAGAACATTCATCATGCTGGTTTATTTGGTATATCCTGTTCTCTTGTTCTGTGATGCTATAGTTAGCAATCAGGCTTGTCACTTATTTTTTAGCAGTAATGGTATACTATGGCATTAGCATTTCTATTGTTGTGCTTTTCAGGACCATTTTGCGTCTTTATTGAGTTTCCATGTATTGCTTGACTTTTTTTTGTCTTTTCCTTCTATTGTCATAACCCGACCCTTTAAGTTCTCAATGAATTTTTGTTGCTTCAATCTCGTCCGCAACACAGAGCAGCATGTAAAAGCTGTAATGAGTTCAATGTTCTGGATGGTAGAGTCTCTTATATTGCTTGTTTTGGTCTTGTTTTATGCAGAGCAAAGCAAAAGCTGAGAAAAACCAGGCAATGGAGCATGTTATGAGTGAAAATTCTTGTCAATTGTGTGCAGTTGAAAAGCTTACCTTTGAGCCGCCACCGATTTATTGCACGCCTTGCGGTGTTCGTATTAAGCGAAATGCAATGTATTATACTATGGGAGCTGGGGAGACACGCCACTATTTCTGTATTCCATGTTATAACGATTCCCGTGGTGACAGTATATCTGTTGATGGGAGTTCCGTTCCTAAGGCAAGGCTTGAGAAGAAGAAGAATGACGAGGAGACTGAAGAATGGGTGAGCTTTCTCTCATTAAATTTCGAATAGATTTTCCTGTATGATATGATGTTATTGTGCTGTTGTATTAATCTCTTGATACTTTTGCAGTGGGTTCAATGTGACAAATGTGAAGCATGGCAACATCAAATTTGTGCTTTGTTTAATGGTCGAAGGAATGATGGGGGCCAAGCCGAATATACTTGCCCGAATTGCTATATAGCAGAGATTGAAGAAGGAGAGCGCACACCATTGCCACAAAGTGCTGTTCTTGGTGCCAAAGATTTGCCCAGGACCATACTTAGTGACCACATAGAACAACGATTGGTTAAGAGACTGAAGCACGAAAGACTGGAGAGGGCCAGAGTTCAGGGGAGAAGTTATGATGAGGTAATGAGGTTGTTTTCATCTGTTGTCGTGTATCATCTGTGTTCTTGGGCCTGACCCTGTAGTGTAATGGGACAACTTGTTCAATTTTATCTTGGGATGGTTTGTCGGAAGATGGGCTGGTCAGATTTTTGTAAGAAACAACATAGATAATGGTTAAGGGAAGAGAAAGGAAGAACAGTTAAATCTTATGAATATTTTGATTTAAAGTTCTGAGCCTTCTGGCAATGTTACTGTTTGGTGTTAGTTATAGTTGTTAGCATTTTATTTACCAAGGTTTCACACTTGTCTGCTCAATACTCATATAAGTTTCTTATCTCAGATAGTTGAAACCCTTCAGGAGTTGAATTCTAATAAGTTTTTGTTTTATGTTTGGTACAGTTTATCTATAGCCTTGTGCGTCTTGGTTCCCTTGTCACACATTTTTGTTTAATGTTTGGAAGTCTGAGTCTATGTTTTTGCCACTTTTTCAGGTTCCTGGAGCAGAATCCCTTGTAGTTCGTGTTGTTTCTTCAGTTGACAAAAAGTTAGAAGTGAAGCAGCGGTTCCTTGAAATATTCCGGGAAGATAATTATCCACTTGAATTCCCATATAAATCTAAGGTATGCAGACTAGCTCAGGTTTCTGTCTGCTTTTTCACAGGGTGTTTCTTCTCCCAACGTTTTCTGTTTCTCTCAAAAGCCAGAATACTGTGAAAAATAATGAACTGTTGGATGCTCTCACTGCCATGTTGATTCAAGTAGTTATTCTTGGTGTTGGTGGTAACTGCTCAATTTCATTTAAAACTTCTATTTCAGGTAGTTTTGTTATTTCAGAAGATTGAAGGTGTGGAGGTGTGTCTGTTTGGTATGTATGTGCAAGAATTTGGAACGGAAGCTCACTTCCCGAATCAGCGTCGTGTCTATCTGTCATACCTGGATTCTGTAAAATATTTTAGACCTGAAGTCAAAGCAGTTACAGGGGAGGCACTTCGTACATTTGTATACCATGAAATTCTGGTCAGTACTTATCTGCCACTCATCTTATTTAGATGTTGTTGATGATAACTGGCCAATGATAATATTGCTGACTTGATTCTGTTTTTAACTATTTCCAGATTGGTTACCTAGATTATTGTAAGAAAAGGGGTTTTACTAGCTGTTACATATGGGCTTGTCCTCCATTGAAGGGTGAAGATTACATACTCTATTGTCATCCAGAAATACAGAAAACGCCCAAGTCTGATAAACTCCGAGAATGGTGGGCCTATTAAGCAGAAGTGGTGATTTCTTATTTAGTTTTACCGTCAGTATTCATTAGTTGTCTAACTCTAACTGCCTGCTGGTTATATCTCATTCTGCAGGTACTTGGCAATGTTAAGGAAAGCTTCAAAAGAAAATGTTGTAGTTGAACTAACAAATTTGTATGACCATTTCTTTGTGTCCACTGGTGAATGCAAAGCTAAGGTAACTGCAGCGAGGCTTCCGTACTTTGATGGTGACTACTGGCCTGGTGCTGCTGAAGACTTGATTTATCAGCTTAATCAAGATGAGGATGGCAGAAAACATAATAAGAAGGGAACTACCAAAAAGACTATAACAAAGAGGGCTCTGAAAGCATCTGGTCAGTCAGATCTTTCAGGAAATGCATCAAAGGATCTGCTGCTGATGCATAAGGTAATCCTTTGTCCCTCGCACAACAGGTCACCTTTCTGTTGTGTGAGAACAGTGTTTTTTTTGCCTTAACTACGTTTCAGTATGGTCCCTTCTTCCGAGCTCTCTGTTTGAGGAATGGATATGTAGCTCAGATTATTTTCTAAGTAGATGTTTTACTTCTTTGTCATGCCTATTTAGCTATCACTGTCTTTGTGCAGCTCGGTGAGACGATTTCTCCAATGAAGGAAGATTTTATCATGGTGCATCTACAGCACTGCTGCACACATTGTTGTACACTGATGGTATCAGGGAACCGGTGGGTTTGCAACCAGTGCAAAAGTTTTCAAATCTGTGACAGGTATATGCTCTCTTCGTAGGACTTAAGCAATGTCACTAGCGTTACTTGATAACCCGTTGGAATCTTGTATCTTGTGTTTTGTGATTTTGAGTAGTCTAAGTGTCATCCATACATCATTGAAATTCAGTATATGGCTGCTCTTTGGTAAATGCTGTCGTGAAGAAGAACCTGGTGTTGCAGAGAACAATTTTTTTTGCCTTTGTAGCCTTAGAAACTTGAAGCCATGACAACGATATTGATGATTTAAGTTATGATCATTTTACTATGTGAATCCCACCAAGATCACTGGCATTAGGTCATTTTATTGCTGTCTATAATTCTTACCGTCGACTTTGTTTTGAGACGTTGTTTTCTTCTGAAAGTCACGCCGTGCTGACTTGGTAATCGTTTCATTCTCAATCATTATGGAGGTTCACAATTTGAGGTCATCAATCAAAGCTCTAACCTTTGATTTCTTTGCTTGTACTGTTGAAGGTGTTATGAGGTGGAACAGAAACGTGAAGAAAGAGAACGACATCCTGTCCACCATAGGGAAAAGCATGGACTATATCCAGTAAGTTTCCAGCTTTGCTATTCTGTGTTCCAGTGGACCTTTCTTCCATTGCGAGAGATTGTAAGCATGACTGAAAAATTCTGTAGGTTGAGATCAATGATGTGCCTGTTGATACAAAGGACAGAGATGAAATTCTTGAGAGTGAATTCTTTGATACAAGGCAGGCTTTCCTTAGTCTCTGCCAGGGGAATCATTATCAGTATGATACTCTCCGTCGTGCTAAACATTCCTCTATGATGGTCCTTTACCATCTTCACAATCCGACTGCACCTGCATTTGTTACTACATGCAATGTTTGTCATCTGGATATTGAAACTGGTCAAGGTTGGCGTTGTGAGGTCTGCCCAGAATATGATGTTTGCAATTCTTGTTACCAAAAGGATGGTGGTATTGACCATCCACATAAATTGACCAACCATCCATCTATAGCTGAGCGTGATGCACAGAATAAAGAAGCCCGACAACAAAGGGTTCTGCAGGTACGCTTCCAAGTGAATCATTTATGTTTTCTTTTTACCCAATGACTGGTATTCACATTCCATTCCCTAATGAACTCAAGTTTTATAGTTGCTTGATCATGTTTTTCTCGACTTTGCTTGTGATATCATCATATCAAAAGAAAACAGCTGACATGATTTTTGTGTCACATTTCAGCTTAGGAAAATGCTTGATCTTTTGGTGCACGCATCACAGTGCCGTTCTCCTCACTGCCAGTATCCGAATTGCCGGAAAGTGAAGGGGCTTTTCAGGCATGGGATACAGTGCAGAACACGTGCATCTGGAGGTTGTGTTCTGTGCAAGAAGATGTGGTATCTCTTGCAACTCCATGCTAGAGCTTGCAAAGAATCTGGATGCTATGTACCCCGTTGCAGGTTTGTGTATTAAACTCACGTCATGCTAGGTTTTTGTTAAACTTTTTTAGGTTGTCCTGTTTCAACGACTCGGACTGTACAGTACATAGTTACAATCAATGTGTTGTTTTGTTTTTGTCGCACAGAGATCTGAAAGAACATATAAGAAGGCTTCAACAGCAATCTGAATCACGTCGAAGAGCTGCAGTGATGGAGATGATGAGGCAGAGAGCTGCTGAGGTTGCTGGCAGTTCTGGTTAAACCAGTCTTCTGTACATACTAAAACATATGGGCTTCGTTTTTCTTTTTTGGGAAGGAAAGGCTTTCCTGAAAAGAAGAGGGAGGCAGAGTCAGCAACAGTTTTGGTGCCTGCTTGGAATGAGGCAGTGGGAGTCAGGGGCGCAGCACATGATAATTACATAGATGGGGTTGGAGTGGGGGGGATAAAGCAAGTCTTAGTACAGAAGATTGGTTTTTGATCGACGCTTTGTGTTAGGGATCAGATTTTTTGATTCATGTCTCCGAAGCAATCTCTCCCCTTACCCTCGTGCAAAGGAAAAGTGGATAGAGAAGTTTCATCGAGCAGACCGGAGGCGGAGAAAGAGCAGCAGCCTCACTTCCTGTGCCCCTTTCAGCAGCAGCTAACTCGATATATAGTGTTCCCTCCAGGGAGACGTAGCAGGGTATAGGATTACTGATGGTTGTGCTTAGTCAGGCGGGCAGGCAAGGCATCTTATGACGAATTGGTGCGATTCTTTGATTTCTATGTTCAAAGAAGGAATGCTACATTTCCAGATTTTGCTGTTTAAAAGGAAACACACAATGTGAAGGTCCACCCCTTGGTGGCCAACTCTGTACCATAATTATTCTAATCATCTTCTTGCTTTAGTCTTTCCAAATGACACATAGTCTCTGCTTTCCTCTTCCCTGTTTCTAATTGTTTCTCCTTTAAGCCCGAAGATCCAGTGAATCGTCAATTAGAAAGCCTGTTTCCAAAACTACTTAGGGTTTCAGATGGAATGGGAATTGGTGGTTTTCATGTTTCCCTTATTTGGTCCGTTAAACCGTCTCCTACGTATGCAGTATACTCCTTTCGGTGTCGCTGCAGCGTCGATTGAATTCACTCGTGCTTGCTGATCTTGCGCTTCGTAATTGTCTTCCAATTATGTGTTGTCGCTTCAGTAGTATCTACTGTTTGCATCAAATAGATGCGCGGTTTCTTGCACAGGAAGAAACAGTCAGAAACGGAATCAGGGTTTGGAAAAGAAAGAGATGGATAAGACGATGATAGCAGATGCTATGTGTATGGCTGTGTTTCCAAATAGGATTCCAGGCCATAAAACCAACTGCATTGACTACGTGGCCACAACATTGACACACATGATCATTTGAAGAACTTCTCACAAAAGATCAAACGTAAACGCCAAGATCTCTCGTCGTACTGCTAAATGAAAATAGTTAAGATAAAAGGGGTTGCTTGTTTTGGAGCAAAGAATGAAAGGCTGAGAATGCTGCAGAACCAGGGTGAAACATACAGAACATCTATTAGAATGAGCAAGCAACCACCGGTTAGCTCTTTTGGGAAAAATGATAATACGAAGCCACCACCATTGTTACAGCTCAGAGTTTACAGAGAGAGCAGCAAAACCACACCAAGTTGGAGGAATAGCAGCCACATATAGTTACAGGCTCGTCCTGAATAACAACAATAGTTACCTTGTTGGAAGAGTGAATTGGTCTGCCACAACGACAGCAGCGATCAAAGGTAGCAGCAGCCGGCGCCGGCTTATAAGCAGCATTACGACGAGCGTGGTCGCGTCCTGTGCAGTAGTTCTACTAGCTTCGCCGCCAGCTGTCGTTGCAGCCGAGCGGCGGAAGAGGCAAGACGGTGGGGAAGAGGAGGAGGAGACGCTGGGGAACGTGCCGCAGACGCTGGCAGGGGAATGTGAAGCGGAAGAGGGGAAAGATTGCAAGAAGGCAATGAGGATACAGAGACCCAAATCCAGGAAAGCTGAGACTTGTACCGTCAAATGCGTCAACACCTGCATCCGCGGCGGGGATGGAGAAGGCCCTCTCAATATCAGGAGGTAAGTAGTAATAAAATCAATGCAGTTTTCTGTATTTCAAAATATTGGATTACCATTTATGGTTGGTTTGTGGATGCTAGACCTCTGGTGGTGTTCAAGCAAGGGTTTCGCAGCCGCCATTACTGGTACTTCTTGCATTATTCTCCTCGCTTTCATCTCTGCTTCTACTGCAAAAAAAAAGTTGCACATAGTGATTCCATGACAGAATGCAATAATCCTCATATTACTACGCTTTGCTTAACTTGTAGTCCTATCTTGCATTGGCATTTGCAGCCTGGTGGAGTGCTCTGAGATCTGCAATCTGATTGGAGATGGAGATGATGGACCCTGACCCACTCTCCCTTTTTCCATCCAGTTTCCAATGTATCAGAGGGATGGATTGGGATTGGGATGAGAAGAAGCATCCTGCCTTCCTACTATTATTCTGTTACTATTCAATTATACAGTGCCTGATTGGCTATATCGAAGAATGCCTGCTCTAAATTCACAATTTAAAGAACGCATGAACCTCTTGATCACCTGGTGGTACAGTATCCCTCAAAGCCTGGGCGATGGCGAAGACTGGCTGCTATTATTGTAAGTGGCCATACCCTTTTCATCATCCCGCCGGCCACTTTCTCTGGGAAGCTGTAGTAGTGTTTTTTAGAACCGTACCATCCAGCCAAACTGAATATAGGAGATCAAACTAATGACAGTTCATCAGAGTTATGCTACTTCATTTTGAACCGTCGACCTCAGTCGTTCCACCTGCAAAACAGTTTCACCAACTGGGCATATGTACACACAAGACTTAACCCTGCATGGGACTCTGGAAGGAGCTCCCAAGTAGATGTTAAGGGAATCACATAGAGATTTTGAAGTGGATTCAGAAGAAGAGTAACAAGCAATCACAATACAACACACAGCAGCAGCAGCAGCAGGAGGCAGTAAATCAGTAAAGCAGCAGAGAGATTTTGCAGGAACATCAATACAGCATTGGATCTCATGTTATAACAAGTATACATGAGAGAGAAGGGAGGGCTCTAACTCAAACAATGAACATCAACAGTAAACACAATGGCTACCATTCTCTATGGAATCTAACATGCATTTACACAGACCATTCACTCATCATTACCCTGGATGCATTTGGATCTGAAAAGGGCGTCAGAAAGTTGAGCCATTGAATCCAAAGAAGGGACGCTGTAAAAACAAGCGACACATTATCAGTAAAATCCATCCCACTTCAATTAGTTAGTTAGTTAGTTCGTCAGCTATATTACCACAAAACTTGTTATCTACAGAATTGGGTTGTTTGCTGAACCTTGTTCTAGCTCCAAGAAAGCATGTCTCGGAGCAAGCAAAAAGAACCAAGACTCTGAAATTTCAGAAGAGTGAGCGGAAAAGGGTTCACCTCAACATCATAAAACTTGATGTAAAACCGGGAGCTATCTATGGAAAGCTTGGTTTCAAGAATCTCGGCAATAGTGTCACTGAGCCTCCCATTGACGCTTGGCCCCAAACCTCCAATGGAAATCAACTCTCCGTATGCAGCGAATGCAATGGGCACGCCGCTATTCACCAAAATCATCACATACTGCAACACAGCCACCAAAGACATCGTCAATGTACAATGAGCAGAGGCTCCGGCAGGCAGTCATTTCGTCGAACACCAAGAGGACAATCCAGAAACAACAAGCGCGACTCTTGCAATAAGAAACGAGAAACCGAATGAGGGGAAAGGGAGGAGTCAACTCTCTCAACGGATTCCGGCTTGCCAATGATTTTTGAAACGGCTTTGGTGGCGCCTTTCATGACATCCGACGTTGTAACCGCGTCCATCGGAATATTCGTGTACAGATTCCAAGGTCGGCATTTTCCCGCCGCTCTCTTCTTCTTCTTCCTTCGCTGCCGGAGCCAGCGCCTGGATAGATAGCTTGCTGCCGGAAATTGGGCTGGGTTAAACTATGTGCCCGACCCATAACCCGACCCGAGTTAGTTTGTTAAGCGCGCTGAAACGGCGTCGTTTGTGTATGAACATACAAAAACCTAAACCCTCCATTTCTACACGTTCTCCGTTCCAGGCCAAGAAGCCGCAACCCGCCGTCCGTCGACATTCCCCTCCTAACTCCGAGTCCGGCTTCAGCTCCTTCTCTTCCCATTTCGGTAGCCTCCGCTGCTTCGTTGGAGGGCCTTCTTCCAGCTCTTCCTGCCATCGTTCGTTGGTCACCGACGCGGCTACAGGCTGCGGTGAGTATTTCTACTTCCTTTCTTTTTCTTCAGTTTGCATTAACGATTTTGCTGGCTGCTTTGTGCCCGTTTTTCCTATTCGCTTACGCGGTGTGTCTCATGATCCAATTCCTTTTTAACGGGCTGTATTAATTTGGAACCAGTAGAACCAGTGCGACTGGAAAGAACATTTTGGGGGTAGAACAAGTTAGCAACCGAAACCTCAATGGGTCTCACTGTCTGTATAGTTATATGATTTCTGTAATTATCCTTCAGGCATTCATCAACCTTGGCTCCATAAAGAAATGATCTTTGTGTGAAATTCATTTTGGGGAAAACAAGTTTTGACTAGTGCTCTTTCTGTGGGTTCATTGGCCCCATTATTATTGTATCTACTCTTTTATAGAACCTACATGTGATACTTCATACGATGGGTCTCTGCAGTTAGACATTGGTTTTGTGTTCTCTGATTCATTTGCCATTGTAGTTTTTCTACATTTGGTATTTGTTTCCACTTGCCCTCATTTAAATGGGAAAAATAGAAGTAAAACATGCTTTGGGGATTGGTAGATCAGCGGCAAGGTATTAGTGTGGTTATGAATGTGATTGGATTTCATGATTATAGGCGCTGGTAGCTGATACCAACGGTTAGCGATGGTTGTGTAAATGTACTTGCACGATGGATTCTGGGTTTTGGGACCCTTTATCAATTATAAATGTGATTGGATTTCACGATTATAGCTTCAGGTAGCTGATCGTTATGGTAAGAGATGGTTGTGTGTAACTGTACTTCCACAGTGATAACGTGGGGAGGGATTCTGGGATTTGGGGACTGGTATAGGAACACCTGCCCTGTATCCAGCCCATTGACATCCCTACCGCAGTAGATGACTTTTCTTATTCTTTTTGGTTCCAAGTAAATGGCAGAAGTAAAGAAAGACCAATGCCAACTCTCCTTGTCACTGGTCTGGTCTAATTAGTACAGATGTTTCTCTATTTGTAAATGGCATCTTATGTTTGGAAATATGACACGTAGATCGTAAAAAGAAGGTGAAAGATGATGAACAAGAAGGAGATTCTGAAGCTAGCCAAAGGGTTTAGGGGGAGAGCAAAGAACTGCATCAGGATAGCAAGAGAGAGGGTGGAAAAGGCTTTACAGTATTCTTACAGGGATCGTCGAACAAAGAAACGTGACATGCGCTCCCTATGGATCCAACGGGTCAGCGCTGGCACCCGGCAGCACAATGTAAGTAACCTCTTCTCTGCCTAGACTATTTTGTATCAATTGATTGGTACCCATTGAGTTGTGTTCTAACATGATTGGCCAGATTGATTTTGTATGTTCCCTTTGCGCTACTGTTACCCATTGATTTGTGGGAACCTACAACTTTATGCTAAACGTGCGGTTGAGTGGTGGTTATATTTCTTGGCATTCGATGCCACTGTTCTTATAGGGTTTTCGCTGACAATGCATATCTTTTGGATAGGAGTTGGAGAATCAAGTTCATCATTAGTTAATGCAAATATTGTTTGGTTGTTAAAGTTCTATTAGATGAAGCAAGTTCATGGGTTCTGAGACTATAAACTTGTTTGTAACAGTATTTTTCTTCACGTTCTTTGCTTCTATGGTTTGTGTTTTAAGTAATAAGTATTAGCAAGGTAGAAAATGAAAATAATTTTCTTGGTCATCAACTATAAATAGTATGAGTGGTTAGTTTTCTGGTTCCTTTTCATTTCCAGAATGTTTATAGACCAAGACAGTTGAACCAAGAATTAGGTTTTCATGGCGAGGTCATGAATCCTTGTGCATTTAATATTGAAATCTCCAGAACTAAACTGAAAATTTCAGTTTTTTTTAACAAACTATGAACTGAATGATGAAGGAAGCATGCCTAGAACCTTCCTAAACATGATTGATCCTTGTTGATTGCGAAAATGTGATAAAAAAACAATTGAAGATGAAGGGAACTGCTGTAGTTATAATATGTGTCTGTAATTGTTGAGTGGTTGACATAGTTCTGTATTCACCTTTTTTAGAGTGCCTAATTTATTCATGGTCTTTTTTTTTAATCTAGAATTGTGGCCATTCTAAAAATATCCTCAACGCTAAGATTACAGAAGTAGACCTTCTGAACTGTAAAATGACATAAAAGAAAACAGAGGATGATCAAGAAGTAGGGAGCACTTCTGAAGTGCTTTTACTTTATAGGTGGAACTAGTCGGTGGTTATGTGGAAATAGTAAAGTGCTTTCTATTTTGCTTCTTGGTCTACAAACTAAACACTTGCAAATTAGCACCAACCAGTTGCTCTTTTAGCCTGCTTAGCACCTGGAGGGTGATGACAGTTTGTGAATAAATTCGGCATCTGTTTGGCTGTGGTGGAGGTTTCTTCCGTTTTCATGAACATTGCTTGGCTTGGAGTCATTAGTCATTGTTACCTAGAGATTGTTCTGCTCAATTTTGAGCTGGGTGGCTACCTGTCTGACAGACTGGAAAACCTACCAACCACTGCTTCTGGATTGGGACCTGTTTTAGTAGGCGTCACTTGCGGCCAATCAGTATTTCTAGAAGAAATCAATTGCAGTAGTCTTGTCTCCTGTCTTCTTTCTCCCAACTGTCTTCGCGTAGCTGAAAGTTGATAATAGTGCTGTTAAGTTTTGGGTCTCTTTCCCTAAACATTGAATTTAGTCAAGTTGATCATGTTCTTTGATACGATGCTTTTAACCTGCTTCAATGTGCCTCACTTAACACTTTTGAGTTATGTCAAATCGCCTAACGTGAGTGATAATTGAGCTGCCACTGTATCCTTCAGGTAAATCGATCACCACATTGTCACCTACTCAATCTCTAGAAACCCTTGTTGTCAAACTTATGTTTCTAGACCTACCCGAGGCAGTGGAAAAACGAAACTGTGAATAGAAAGGTGGTAGTTGGAGGGGGCATTTCTGATTCTCAACTGCGTGTGATTCACAGGTTCATTATGGTCACTTCATGCACGGGCTTAAGAAGGAGAACATCCAGCTGAACCGGAAAGTTCTGTCGGAGATATCGATGCACGAGCCCTTCAGCTTCAAAGCTCTGGTAGACATTTCTCGCGAGGCTTTTCCAGGAAACAGACACATATATCATCGTCCCAGGAAGGTTGATATGTCGTCGATGGATGCATAACGGGGTCGACTTCCTAGATAAAGTCTTGGTCGTGGGAGATTTATATTAGATAAATCTGAACTAGATGTTTCTCCTGTTGGTTTCCTCCATTAGGTAGGTGTCTTGAGTCAGGGAAGTTGTATTCAATTATGCAGCTGTGTATGATCTGGAATTCTGGATCCTTATTTTTTTTTGCCAACGACAAAAGGCAAATTGCAGAAAAAATATTGCATGATCAGTAGGTTTCCAGTTCTTCACTTCGCCCTGCAGCTGGTGTATGATTTGGTGAGCCTAAGGTCTAGCCTGGTGGAATTATGATTGGCAGAAAAAGTAAGTCTCTACTGACTATGTTGTTACTTGTTAGAAAGGTTTGGTGTATCAGATAGACCAAACTCCTAAACTGGATTGATTTTAGCATTGTTGATTAACTTCAAGAGCTTAGTTTGGTTAACTTACCTCCCTGGAAATACGTTATAACTTAAGTAAATATAAAATGAATTCAATCCCTAAAAATTAATTTAATGGATAAATAAAATGTTTATTGTTTGGTAACTCCGTAACGGTGATTGTTAACATACAATTAATATAAAAATAAAAAATTTATGTTAAATAATATGTCTATCTTTAATAAAAAAATTAGAGTAATTCGAGAAATATTAAAAACTTTGTTAGTAAATATATTTAATATGATAAATAAATAAAAGAAAAAAGGTAGGAGAAAAAAAATCTCATGAACCAATATATAGAATCTCTCTGATTATGAGAGATTTGATATTTATAGATTTTAGAGGTTTGAAATCTTTAAAGCTAAAATCCACAATACAAAAAGCAACAAAAAAACATAACTTTCTACAAAATCTACGGATTCAATGAATCCACGCCTTAAATCTCGTTATCCAAACGACCCCTAAGTTTTCTAAAAGGAGATTAATCACTTAATTACCTATTTGTAACTGATTGTTATAGTGTTTTTTTAATAGAAATTTTCAAATAATTTATTTTGGTGAAGTCGAGGAAAAAAAGCCCACTTACTCCAAATCAATAATTGTAGCCTTTAAAATTAATGCAACATGCTATTCTCAAAATTGTAACATTCATTTGAAATCTATAATATCTTAAGTGTCAAAACTAGTATATAATATTTTATCCATAGAGTTATTTATTTGTTCTATTATCAATATATCTAAATTTCTTATGAAAATAATATATTACTATACTAATAAAATAGGGGAAAACCAGCTAAAAGTAATTCAGAGAAATACGCCCAAAAATAATTTGGTGAAAATCTCTTATCAATATTTTAGATGTTGTATTGTTAATATAATTACAAAAATCTAAATCAGATTATGATCTTAGTTTTGTCGGGAATCTGATTATAAGAAAGGTTATTTTAGAGTCGGATTTACATATGACTATCAGTCTCATCCAGTCCGTAATGCTCCTCTCACCCATACTTCGTTCTAATCGATAAAATCCAACCCCTTTTTACTTTACCATGGGAAGTTCGCCTCGCCCGTGTGTTATGTGTATAGAGAAAGGCAACTTTGTACAAGACTTATTTCGTACATCTTTTGAGCATTCCTTAGTTGTTGGAGTACAAAAAAGAAACAATAATATGATAAAATATAGTTAAATTATTGGAGAAATGGAGGTTTTCTCTTATTTACAACTTTATTATAACTAAAATATGAGGCAATAAGAGAAAAATCCTAAATAATTTGAATAAGATTACATGTAATGTAGACAGGAGCGGGTTGAGAATGGGGGCGGGTCAGGGCAAGGCAGGTCGATGAGAGGTACCCATGCCCGCCCCAAAACAAGCAAAAAGGTCGGATAAAACGAATCAGATCGAAATTGTCATCCCTACATTTCCGTTGTCGGTAAATAATGTGCGGTGGTTGCACGTCAACTTGGTTGTTGGCTCCTTTCCTCTACGGCCGGCGACATTAATTTGGATCATCAGTTACAGTTGATTAGGTATGGAATAAGTAGTCTACTAGCTCTGTATTTAAATTGTATATAGCTTGATTAATTATCAGTTTTCTTGCTAGTTTGAACTGTTCATATATAGAGTAGCTAGATGGGTACGTAGTGCCAGAGGGGAAAAAATCAACCAAACAACCTTAAATTAATCACAACACTTGTAAAATTTCTATTCATTGAAAGAAAGAAAGAAAAACCAGACTTTGTGTTCGTGGTTTCTGTTGTTTCTGCAGTAGGTTCCAATATTCTGTGTGTATCTTGTGTCCAATTGGCTGTATGATCGATGATGATAACCTATTTTTTATATAATATATGTCTATGAAATCTCAAAGAAATTTGACTTTCCAAATTTCTTTGGTTATTATTGTATTTGGTTGGTCTTAATCCACCAACCACACCAAGAAAGGAGTATGAACTATGAAAACACGAATCTATGTGCTGTTTCTTCTCCATGCTAGTAGCTACCTACTTCCTCCCCGGCCCGCTGATGCTGGCTCTCTTCGCGAGTCTCGCGTTACCTCGTTTTCTCGTATGAATATCTGACAGATTTATGAGATTGAAGCAATTTAGGGTGAAAAATGAAGAAACGATTTTGAAAATGGTTGGCCGCGCGCGGTTTTAGGAAAAATGTCCAGATTCATTTTGAGCAAAAAAAAAAAAAACAATCAATTTTATGAAATCGCGTAATTTGACTTCGTAATGCAATCATTTTAGTAGCTGTTCTGTCTTCCGAGAAACTTAAAGGGTTTTAGTGGACCCTTCTACTATGTTTAATAGTATTAGTGTTTCAAGGTACGAATAAGGGTTTTTGGTCTAGTAGTAATATCACTAGTTTTGAATCTTCGAATCTTGTAAGCAGTACCTAAATACTAAAACTAAACCTATGTCACTCTTATCTAATAAAAAGTATTTACTGTTTCGAGATATGTACAGATTGAACACGTACCATAATATTAAAGGTACAAGTTCAATTTGTCCTATAACGTTGAAGATATCAATCCAGTTCGTAAAACTTTTGTACCCGACTATAAAACTCGGTAAAACTCATATGTAGGTAGTTGCGAGGAAAATTTACCAATGAGTAGTTGACCACGTCCGCCGCCAAATTAACAAAGACTCCAAACTTTGATGTTACTTCCTTCAGCTGGTGGGCTTGAATATAGTTGACTTTTCTTTGTTGGGGGAAATAATTTAATTTTAACGAAAATGTGCGAAAGCTGTATTTGCGTCTGTGAGTTTTTTCTCGTGCGTGTGGATGTCTATCTCAATATGAAATTATGAGTCGATTTTATCGGGGGAAATTCAATCCCAATCAGCGCTTTGGCTAAATTTTCTTCGAATCTGGTATTAAGAGTAGTGATGAGTTTGGTGGTGTTTTGGTATTTTTAAATATTCACACGGAACCCAGCTGATGACTGTATATGTTATTATAACTATGTTCCAGCCAGGCTCGCTCGCTGCAATACTTCGGTCGTCTATATCACTCACTGTTATATAAAAAAATGTCAAGAACTTTATATATGATTGTTCGGAAATGGTGCAGGGGTTTTCCACCGAAACCCACATAGGTGGGTTTTGGTGTGTGGTATCACATCTTTACCCACTTTTATGTTACGGATACGATTGAAATTTTTGAATTAATCATGGTTGAAGAATGATATATATGAAAACCAATCTCATTGAATAAATTTGACAATTATATTTTTGACATCTCTTCTCTTGGATTCATTATATAATTGTTAATATAATATAACATTCATAATTTCATATCCATATATTCCCCCCCCCCCCCCCCCCCAACTACTCAATTATTAGGATGTTCTGATTGGTTCTAATAATCCACATAACTAAATTAGAGAGCACAGAAAACAAGTAGCAAAGCACAAAGATAATAAGCGCCGGTTTCCCGAATTAATACACCGTACCGATCGAACGAACAGGCGCACACTTTTACGAAAAATCTGTTGAGCATTCTATTTCTGTGTGTATTTTTTGACAATTATTTCTGTGTGTAGCTATGGATATATTTAATTACTAATTTGTCCATGAAGTTGTTAGGAGACCAATGGTTGACCTTACCGCAATGTACATAATAATAATAACATAAAAAAATACAAGTGGAGATTAATTAGTTTTTGTTTACAACGACAAGGGGAGATGAGATTAGGTGATGAATGATGATCACTATATTGCACCAAGTTTCCATTACCATAATCCCACTTGCATGTGTAAAGCAACTAGTAATTGCATTATTAGAAGGCGAGAAGGGAAAATATATAAAAATTATATTTTAAGAACTGATGATTGGGTAGGTAATTGTATTGGTCTCGACTCTCGATAGATCAAATTGTTGGACGAGATTTCTCTATGTATCTTACATTACCTGCGCTAATTAACCAGTACCCTTTCAAATAAAAGTCAATTCACGAATTTAAAGTTCGAAAACAAATTCAAATATCATATGGATAACATTAGAGGTTTGATAGGATTCGAAGCGCAAAATCGATTTTCAAAGGCTTTGATATATATTTCTATGTTTAAATTACTATAAATATATTTAGTTCACGAAGTACCACACTTGATGAGCTTAAATTCTTTCTGCCCAAACCACTTCAATAAAATGCGCGAAGTTAATGGTTTGTTAATTATATGAATTTGATTCAACCAAAGCCAACAGAAACTACAGAAGTTCATGGTTTTTGTGCAGGTTAAGCTGAACATGATTTGCATATATTGAAATAATAAATAAATCGTACGTGTTATTATTATGGGACAATCCAAGTACCAAATTGGTAAATACAAGAAAACGTACACTTATAACGTTATATGTAAATTTGTAAAAGAAAATAGACAAATTAAATATATACTTTAAAATTAAAAATACAAGTTCAGTTTATATCATAATGATATTTATTTTAAATCAAAATACGCCACACGACTCCATTCAATCCAACGAGTCATGGTAGCTAGTTAGGGGGAAGCAACTCCCGGGTGAAGCTTCCTTAGTTAGAGTTTTCCTTTATTTACTTTTCTTTGCTTGTTTAGTTTGTAGTTTCTTAGTTTGAAACCCCAAAACCGTTTTGTTAGATAACAACTTAAGGGATTGAAGTAGGGGTACCTGGATCAGCCCGGGTTGATATTTAAACATACTTATCATGTACTACACCCGACTAAGGTTTATACTTGGACCTTAGAAGGGAAATTATTGTGGTATTCGGGACGAGTCAGTGATTCTCAGGGAGATTCAAAAGGAGGAAGAGAACATATGGTTAGGGAGATGTCGTTCTTCATTTAGAGGGGGTAGACTTATAAAAAGGGCTAAATTTAGAGGGGTCGGGTCTCGGGTCTTGGGTTGGGTCTCGGTTTGGCTCGCGGATTGGGCAGGGAGGGCTGACATGACGGGTAAATATGACGTGGCGGGTCGGGTTAGGGTTGGACGTTCGGGT